CTCGCCGAATAAGTCTCGCGGTCTTGTAGGACAAATTTGCTGACGTACGGTGGTAACAAATTTACCAGTCTTGTATCAAAATTTCGTACTGAGTTTAGCGATACCCATGCTACTCCTCACTCTTTCCATGCCCAGTGAGAACTCCTATCGAAGACTAAGTCTTCTCAGACGACTGAAAAGGTTTTCAAAAGGTCTGAGGTCTGGCGGGGACGCGGGGACAACGGACAAGCGACAATCAGACTCAGAGAATTACAGGTTAAGTGTAGAGATGTTCACTGTGATTCTGTGACATTCTTTGCTGCTCTCTTTTCAATCAAGGAGATGTCATTGTGGCATTTATTTAGGCTCAACTATCTATCTATCTTCTTACTAAACACGTCACCGTTATTGACTTCGGGGTCGCAGAGGGTTATCACACATAGTTTTATAGACACTTTTTCGGGATTGTTAATTCCTGGTAGATTTAATGTAAAAACAAAGCACTTTCCAGGGTCCTTGGCGTGGCGTGACAGTCAAAGGCTCTATCTGGCTACCGGTAGGTATTATTTCTCTCAAGTTTCAGCAAGATCTTGAGAGATCCGAAGGGAAAAACCGTCACCAACCCCGCAGTCAACGGAAGCTACCGGTAGGCTACAAACCTCTCATGGCTGCATGCTGCATGCATGAAGGGATGAAGGGGAGGGCCAACAATCCATGGATCCATACCGGTAGCACGGAAGCACTGCTTCCGTAGCTATCATAGCTAGTCGAAGCAGGTGCCACATCGCCAAGGACTCGACTGTCACTCTTGTAGCCAGTAGCCAGACAGACCCGTGACCCGTGGCTCATTGCGTTGACAAACGCATCTCAACATTTAAATTTTGCTACTGCCCTACTCTGGAGTACTGTACTCTACTGTAGAGTACTCTTTCTAGATAGACTAATAGGCTTTTTTGCTGCCAAATAGACAGAGATAGCCACGGTAGCTGAGGGACCATGCGGAGCGGTCCAAGCATTTGGAAAGATCAAAAGATACGCCATCCACCATTTGCTTTCCGTGCATCTGCCAGATCAGCTCCCAAAGCAATTAATAACTCAGTCTGCTTGTGTTGATAGCATAATAATGTTCAAGTGTTCAGCCAAGTTTCTGTCAGTCGATAGTGGTAGTCTCTTTTTGACTTGCCACATCAGGTTGAACGGACAACCGAGGGGGGTGCATGCAACCCTTCATGCACAAATTGCTCTGCCAGCTCAGGAGCCAGAAAGAGCAAGCATGAAGCTTTCAATCGCACTCGCACTGATCTGCCTTGCAACTCTTGCAACAAAGACAATGCTGCAAGCAAGCTGATGTGGACCCAACGAGCACCCTCGCAAGCTGCTCAGTTCAGTTCAGGATAGTTGGGGTCCCAACTGCTCTGGGTTGCCGAACTAGCTAGCTAGATACATGTAGTGCCATATCCCACTTTCCTGCATCTCCTTTCTAAAACCCCCTTTTGTAGTATTTATTTGTGGAGAATGAGGGTGGGGACTGGACGTAGCAAGAAACAACCGAAGGCAAGTAAGTGACCATTCGGGAAGACCAAAGACGCAATCGTGGTAGAACACCGTGGAAAGTAAAACCCTAATGCCTTATCTTTTATATCCCTACCGGCTGATGCGGATCTTGGGATCTTTGCGAAGCCGCCAGTTTGGTTTTCATCGTGGCCTTTTTGGCCTTCAGCATCAACCCTGTCCAAACATACATGTAGTATCAGGTCTTCTCCTCACGATAATCCACAAACGAAGCAACTCTGATTTAGCGGGTGTGACGAAAGGGTTCTGTATTCTAGGATAAATACGTACGGTAGCCAAATGGTAACAATCTCCTCAAGATCTCGAAGGCTGATCCGTTACAGGGATTCTACCAACCTCCTCTTGGATATCTCGCCGACCACACGGAATTGGATTCTGGGCTGTTTCTTGCTATCGTATGTCGTCTACTTGATCCATGTGGGGATTGGATATCTTCCCGAGTGGGTGGATCATGACATGATTTATCTATTTCAGGCATACTCTCGCGATGACTGGAATCAGTTTCAACTGGACTACAAGCAACGCTTTGGTAGGGACACACCCGCATCGTTGGAGTCCTGGCACCGCTATGCCAAGTACCAACAGTGCAGCGAGACGGAGTTTTACGATTCTTTGGATCGAGATATGGAAACCTTTCGAAGACAAATCAATGCCACTGGTGGCAATTTGTTGGATTATTCCCAGGTGGTACCATCTGGTTTGGCACAGACCAACAACTACATGGCATTTCAGTTGCAGCAGCACCAGCTAACCGTGATTATGAGTCGCAATATACACAACAATCAACAACAACAAGACGAAATTGAACAGAACTTTCGATGGTTGTTGCGACCGCTGGTGGGACATTCTCCACCCATCTCGGCCATTTTCTTTTTTGATTTGCACGACCATCCCACGGAAAAATCCACACAGGACTCCATGCCCATCTTTACCGTCTGTCGCATGAGTTACTTTACAGACGATCAACCGGTACCCTCCGAACAACAGCTAGAAGCACTGCTCTCTGATGCTGCAGTCGATGGTACAAATAATGGAGTATTTCTACGCCATTCCTCCAATGCGAAACTACCTTCCAGCAAAACTCTTGCCAATAGGATAGTGGACCATGCATTCCATCCAGACTTCCCAGATTCCTACAACACCAGGGCATTGATGATGCCCTTTCATTTTGCACTGGAAGGGAATGATATTGAGCCAGGTCCTGCGTTTTCCAAGCGAAAAGATGCCATTGTCTGGAGAGGGAGTACCACGGGATATGACTGGGGGGCATCACCACGATTTCAACTGGTACAACAATACGGAGGCACCCAGCCGTATCAAGCATCGTCGGAAAGTACGACAACTATTGACTTTGCCTTTACCAATGTCTGTCAAAACAGTTCCACAGATACGTTGCCACCCGAGACTAGATTTGCGGCTCGGATGGGAGATGAGGAGACACAGCAAAACAAGTACATTATGGATGTCGATGGAAATGGTGAGTCAAGTCAGCAACAACAAGCTGCTTTTGGATGGCCAGTCTGGTTTGGATCTTTCAGCAGTGTGCACATATTGATGCCATCTCTCAGAGACAAAATAATTCAACCAACTCTCACCGCAAAATTATTGATTCATGTTCTTCTACCCATGTCCATTGAAACAATTTTACAGCATTCACATCCCGATTCCCTCGATTACTGAAATCCGGTTCTGTCATTTTCAAATCGACACGGTTTCGAGAATGGTATTCAGAACGCTTGAAACCGTACGTGGACTATATACCAGTCAACTACAATCTGACGGATCTTTTGGAAAAGATTGCTTGGGTAGAGGCACATCCCAAGGCAGCCGAACAAATCATGCAACACGGCAGATTCACGTCGGAAAAGTACTTGTCCAAGACGGAAATGAAATGCTACGTCTATCGCTTGATGTTGGAATATCATACACTGTTTCAGCCACAACAATCTGCATCATCATCATGATCATCGCCCCAAAAAGAATGGCTAGCCATGACTACCGCGAGTGACAGTCGAACTATCAAACAGTGGCTTATATCTTCACCAGTACGGTCCATGAAAGAAAGAGCTATGAAGCATCTGCTGGGAGGTTGATCGCATCACATGCGACACTTGCTGGCCTTAGCATTGAAAGGCGGGAACTGCTACCGTACATGTACACGACTTGGCATCGAGTTGAGTTGGCCAATCGTCACGTTGATTTTTTCCCACAACCAGAAGTGAGAACAGAACTACTTGTGCAGCAGCAGCAACATCAACATCTGCTATCGAGTGGTAGCTGAAACGGTTTGGTTTGGAAAGGGTCGGCGCACTTGTACCGGTACCTACAGCAACAAAGAACAATCCTGACCCTTCCGCTGAAAGGTGTGACGAAAAGCCACTGAGCCATGGCCTTTTCGACGCTTGCCCAGGCATGCAGCTACTCGAGTCGAGTCCTACATGTAAGGTTTGAATTATGTCTAGTTTGCGCATTTGTTCGAGCAGCTTCTTTTGAGAATAGCAATAAGCTGCAAAACTTAATAATCACATCTAGCTAGCCATTCCTGCAATGCACATCTATCTCTCCCCTCCTACTCATGAATAAAACGACGCGGCAGTCCCCGTGTCATTATTATTCGCGCCAGTAGTAGTAGATGTCATTTGTCGCAATCGTTCTCGTTCACTGTCGGGGTCATCTGTTGGCAAGGTCCGACGACAGTACGGACACGTGTTGTGCTGTTGGAGCCATTGGAGAGCACAGTTCTCATGGAATACATGTCCACAATAATTGGTCAATGTCATGGTGGTTTGTCCCAGTTGGAACGAGTCGGTGCAAATAATGCAGGCATTGTCTTGTTGCTGGTTGTTGGAAATGGTCAATGTGGCCGTACTCGTGCTGGTAGTAGTCGCCAACAAGCTTCGTCCTTGTGTTTGTGAGATCATGACCACAGGTATGGACACCACACCTTGCTGGTCTTTTTGTGCCTTGGTCCGAGAATCCTTCATGACATACGGCCAGGGAGTTTCCTTGTCATTGACGACAATCACCGCAATGGCACCGGCTTGTTCGGCGGCAAATGATTTTGTAAAGAACGATACACCATGACCTCGTTCCAGCACGGCAATAAAGGGTGTCGCAGTAGGAATGTTGGAAAATGGATCCTTGCCAGTCCGTTGATTGCGGGTTGCGGGTATCCACAGTGGAGCTTCCACGGTGATTATCGTCTTGTCGTTATTGTTGTCGAGTGATGGAAGCGCCCCCAGTTCTCCCGTGACAGCTTGGTATTCTTGACCACTCACGGAAAGACCAACACGAAAAAAGGAGGCACTCTTGGGATGCAAGGTTTCTCGTGGCAATTGTCGCAGCACTTGCGAGGATGTCGGTGTTTTCCCCGAATCGGCTGCAGCCGACGGATCCAGAAGAACTTCGGGAATGGCTTGCCAACCCGTCGTATTATCGACTGCTTGTTGCGCCAGCTGTGTCGTCGCCTGGACTTGTGCTCGGACATTGCGCAACTGATCTCGCAACTCCGCCACGGCTCCAATGTGGGGAGGCAAAAAGGCATCCAAATCCATGGCACGAAACGAAACATTTTCTGATTGTCGTTGTGGTGGTTGTTGTTGTCGGACGGTCAGGGTTCCACCACATTGAGTGCAGACTCGAGAGTGACCATGACACTCTTCTTCGCAGTCCTCGCACCAGTTGGCATCGTCACGGATCGTCATGGTACTAGTAGTATGGTTTCTACAGCCTTGTTTGGTTGTGTTGTTGTGTTGGAGTGTGTTGAGTGTGCTGATGGCGTTTTGTTCTCTGGCTGTCGAATTGGATCCTGAGCTTGCGTGCGACCAAAACGTTGTGTTGAGCTGATTTTAGGGATAAAGTTCAAGCAACGCTTTCGCCAAGACCCCACGAGCAACCCAAAGGAGGGCACCACTGAGATGGAAGGTATTTCTGAAGTCTTTTCCTACCACCAATGTAGTTCTGGAATACTTCTGGTACCAGATACACAAAGGGGATCTAGTGTAGGGAGCTTATCTACGGCTTCTACAGGAAAAGAAGAGACGAAAAATTTGGGACTAGCTTCCATGGGATCAGCGCCAAACTGGGGGCCAGCATGGGATCCAAAGGGATTGAACTCGTCATATATAGCTACTGACCCATGGTACCGGTAACACCTGACAGCTAGAATTGGATTCTGTTGGTTCCCTTGCAATCCAAGTTTGCTGTTCAATTGCCGTGAGGATGAAGGTTAGAGCATGAATTCGGTTCCAGTGCTACCGTACCCAAACAACAGCCTCATTAAATTTTGAAGCTTGCTCCAAACCCAGCCTGGCTTCAAAAGCCAACATTGAAAGCCAAAGATTATTCCTACCTTCCTAACCTGGACGTTCTTATGTGATGAAAAAACCAATACATGTACTGTAAAACAAAAAGTGAGAGCAACTGTGCTACTTTTATTATTGACAATTAATTTATCACGCCAAATTTCAATAACCGTTACAGGATGTGCATCCAACCTCCGCCATTTTGTATTTAGACGGGTTGGAAGGATTTGAACAGCCGGAACACTTCAAATAGCAGAGAGCCAGACCATGTCATGTGCATCCATTCACATCTACGATTGACGACCAATTTTGGTACATCTAAATGGCATCGGTTGGGCCGTCACACCCATTATCCCACCTCTTTAATCGGCATCCCCACGTGATCCGACCTTATTGTGCTTGCATATCTTGTTTGTTTGTTACGTTGTGGATTGGTTACGTTTCTATAGGTGTGCTGTGGTCTGTCACATAGCCGGCTTTGAAGCAATACTATACCAGTAGAGGACAGCTGGCCAAAAAGGGAACAACAACAACAAATTGGCAAGACTGCCTTTGAACCGAGGGTAGCATACTACTGTAGTAGCACAAGGCTCTTGTTTTGGTTTTGTGTTTGTGTTGGGGCACCTCTGTCACTCCTTCCTGCCACTGCGCACCTATTCTTTGCAGCAAAGCAACAGATTTATTTCGAGAAGCCTACCGGTACAAGCGCGTACGTTTCTGTTGCTTTGTTCCTCCAACAATCCACATTCGACAAACTAGTACCACCCTACCCTACCATTCCTTATCCAGAGAATCCTACAGCAAGATGATCTCGACCTCGCCTCTTTCTTATCCAACCACTACAAGACGAAAGAGACACATGAATACCTCCACAGCCCAACCGCATCCCCCTAGTACCCGTCTGCTGCTACCCACACTCTTTCTATTCACTCTACTACTACTACTCCTGATATCACCGGGAGTAGATGCGAGCAGAGGCTTTGGAGTACTATTAAACCAACATGTCCTCGACTACATGAACACTGTGGCGCGTCTCCAGAATGCCGCCAGCGATCCCGATTTGCCCAATCGCATTTCCGAAATTGCCACCGAACTAGGATTCAATCGTCTCTCGTATTACTGGGAAACACCCTTTGCATCGACCGGTACGGAAAACTTTGCCCAAGCCGTATTGGGACGCAAGGGATCCGTCTGTTACGCTGTAATGCACGGACTCCCGGTCGAAGACGATTATCGATTTGTCCCCAATCCCGTGCCACTGGCCAATCTACAACGGTCCTGGCTGAACTGTATTCCCGATGAAACCAACGACAATTGTCAATGTCGAGCCCATTGGTTGTGGGTCGACCGGAACTTTCCCGAATACTGGCAAGAACTCCAGTCAGAGTTAGATACCTGCATGTCCAATTGTCTGGCGCGAAATGACGATTGCAATATGGTATTGGGAGGATTTGGGGAAGGGGGTATGGTCGCCCAGCTATTGTCCTATCAGTTTGCCAACACGGCTCATAATGCACCCTATGTGATTGCCACGGGATCGAGCAATGTGTTGTATGATGCCGATTGTGAAGGAATTGACCACAGCCGATACTTTCGATTTGTCAATACCGCCGACACGACGACCGGCGATGGCTCTGCCAACTACGGATTGTGCTTTGACAGTATCCCCTTTTTGGGGCAAGACTCCTTGGCAGACTTGGGGAATACCATTGGCTTGGGAATGGAGCGAGGAAATAATGGCATGGTACTGGGTCTTGGAGGCACCGGCCAGTTGATGACATTCGAACCGTCTGCGAGACGATCCTCCTTGTGTCGCACAGCTCATGATTCCGAGAGTTATCAAAGTAAACTGCAATTGGCCTTTTTGCGCAATCCTTCTGGACTTACACCCGCTGGATTTGGATCCAATCAGTATTGTGAAGTCGATCGGGATTGTCAGAGTGGAAACGTTTGTGCCGTTGGAACTGTAAGCTATCCAGAATGTTTGCTGGGACAAGCGCCAGGGACTCCTGCCCCAACACTGGCGACACCGCCTCCCACAACACCTCGTCCTACACCAGGCCCGACTTTACCTCCAACCACACCAGTTCCAACGCCCAATCCAACACCAGGCCCTACTACTTTACCTCCGTCCACGGCATTTCCAACCCCCAATCCAACTGCAGCACCGACTTCAGCGCCACCAACCCCCAATCCAACCACGCCTGCCCCTGTGCTGACTCTCAGTCCAATCGCAAGGCCACCATCACCCATGCCCACTCGTAGGCCCACTTTGCCACCCTCCACGCCCAATCCAACCGCACGCCCAACTTTACCACCCACAACTCCAAATCCAACCGCACGCCCAACTTTACCACCCACAACTCCAGAGCCTTCTCCGGGGCCCACATTGCCACCTACTACGCCCAATCCAACAATTCGAACCACCACGGCTGCTTCGGTGCTGCCCGCAGTCACACCCAATCCAACCACCACAAAGCCCACCTCTAGTCCAAGCTCCTCCCCGTCATCAAGTCCCCCCACCAGTACACCAACAACAGCATCACCCGTTGCAAGTGACAGTACAGTCAATACGCAAGAACCTTCACAAACTCCTACAGAAGATATCATTACGTCTGCTCCAACGACAATGTTGGATGCCGAAGAGGTACTCATCGATATCGACACCGATGCTCCCACCAAAGCCAATGATGACACTGAAACCAACACACCAAGTCAACGCCCCATACTGTCGTCACCTACTCAACAACCCACTTCCAACACAACTCCATCTCCTTCCATATTGGTGTATTCCATCGAGAATGACTTTTTCAGAGTGACATTAGTCCTTAAAGATGTCACAGAAAAGCTAGGCGGCTTTACCGTATTCATGTGGGAAGATGAAACCTCGGAACATCTACGAGATTGGATCTTGCAACACACGGTTGACGAGAACTGGGATCCACCGCTGATGCAACTTCGTGTCCAGGCAAATATTGTCACCCAGCAGCTCTTGTTCACGACTGCGCCATTGGAACAAACAGCACCTCCCAATGTGATTTCAGCCAGCATGGCCGCACCCAAGGAAAAGAATGGTGACAAAAAACAAAAAGGCCGAGGTGGCAACAGTCGACGCACTCGTGGCCGTCGCGGACGTCGAAGGATTCAGGAAGAGCGAGTGGAAGCCCTCCAAATTGTCTTTGAAGTGGCCATCTCGTATCGCGCGCCTGAAGACGACAATGGCGAACTGGACCTTTCTTCGTTGATCTTGCAAGCCTTTCAGAGTGGAAAAGGTCGAAGCCAGTACGGCAAACGTCTCAAGGACAGCGATGACCCCACTTTTGCTTCTCTGAGTGATTTCGTGTTGCAAGTAGAAAGCAACAGCGTGCTGAATCGTGTGGAGGGTCAAGGTGGCAACACTGCCGGAGGCGTACTGGACGATCCTGTTCTATTTTGGATTATCGTAGGTTCCGCCAGTTTTGCCGCTGTCATGTCTGCGCTCATTCTTGTTGTCTATTGGAGACGTACAGGAAAAGGGCAATACATGGAAGGATCAGCGAGCAGCGGGACAGGGTTTGGACCTCCAAATCTTCTTGACAAGGCCATCTTTGAACCAGCTCAAGGCGGGGATAACCGCGTAAGCCCAAGTGGCGCTCGATTGTCTCAGTAAGTGTTGCATCACATGTCTTGTTTTGTCATGGAACACAGGGTTGATAGAGACATCTCCTCTAACTTTGCCTCTCCATATTGCGTTCGTACCCGCAGAGAGATTGTAGTTGACAGGAGTGGTCAAGATGACGGAATCAGCACACTAGGTGATCCCACGTTCTACCCGGGTTCCCCATTGATGAACAATGACGAGACCACAGCAGACAATACTGCCAAGTAAGTGGATGTGGCTTTGTACCCCCCCTTTTGCACGCTTCAACCCGTTCTGCGAGCTGACGTGTATACCTACCCTTGTCCGTTGCTCAGTCTCAACTATGCACGGAGTTACTTGAACAATCACAAGTACGATGACAACAATAGAACATTTGTGAGTGATCAGCAAAGCCGCAGTCGCAAAGACACGGACCACTCAATGAATCGCAGCGTCACCTCGGGGTCCGGTCTTTCCTTTTCCAAAGTTGGATCGGGTCTTTCCAACTTGAACGAATCGGCGATCTTTACCGATGACGAAGGATCGTTTGAAGAGCAATTCGCCGGACGAGACCACTGTTTTGTGGTAGCTGCTCCACGAGGGAAACTGGGCATCATCATTGACTTGAACGACGATGGCGAGCCTTTGGTTCGGGCTATTCGCGGTGACAGTGTCCTCGCCCGCAAGGTAAAAGTTGGTGACCGGTTACTGTCTGTCGACGGCGAGGGCTGTGCTGATATGTCGGCAGAAACAGTGTCAAAGCTGATAGCGCTGAAGTCGAATCAACCCAAGCGAGAAATCATGTTCGTCAGACGACAATTTGACTACATGTAGCTCATAGAAATCTAGTTTTGTAACCATAGAATAAAATGCATGCTTGTACATGTAAGTAAAAACGTTACCTCGCACAACTCTGGGGCCTACATTGCTACCTACAACCAACAAAGCCGACCCAGCAAGGCTCTGCCACGCACTACTGTATTTAGTTCTCCTCTGCCACTTGAAAGTAAGTTTCAAACCTGTGCAAGGCTTGAAGGGTGGCTAGAAAGGAAACCAACTCGACCATATTCTCGGCTGTAACAGAGGAAGCTTCAATGTCGTCAATAATGCTCTCCGTCATGCGACTGGGATTGTAAGATAAAGCCTTTGCTGCTTTCAGTAGCAACGCTTTGTTGTTGTTGCTCTTGGAATATTTGTCTTCCACTTCGCTGGCCAAGACTTGCTGCAGCTCTGACTTCAACTGTAAATTCTGCAACTGACCGCAGTATTGGAGCCCTGCCAATACTTTGGTCGACAACGCAATCCCATCCGAGACAAAGTTCTTGCTGAGAATGGCCGTCAGAGCCCGTCGCAAGCGAGAGTGCTGCAGCTTTCGCAGCACCGGAAAGGTTGCCCCGGTCAAGTCCTTCAAAAAGGCAATGCAATCTTCCGCCTCGGAGGGAACCCCCTTGGCCAGTTTGGAATCCAACGCAGCCGCTCCACCCGGACGCAATCCTTGGTAAATGATGGCCAGTTGCAGTTTCCAGTCGTCCTTGGGTGGCATGGGCAGTGCTGCCTTGGGGTCATTCAACGTCAGTCCAACCGTGGCAGATTTGGAGAGGACAAACTTTGGGTCAATGTGTTCCATGGTTTCACCGTAGGTATCTGGTTCCAAGGGAATGGCCAATCCATCCATGTACTTGTTCAAGGAACCCATCATGGCGGTAGCCGCCACAATCCATTCCACTTGTGTTGGTTTCAGATTCTCTTGGAGCAACTGAACATCCTCTTTATTGAGACATGCTGGCACCGTGCCCAGACCGTAGGATACCCGAATGACGGCCCGTTCTGCCAGTGTCAAGTTGGTGGCAGTGTCCTTGCTCAAAATGATTGCCTCGAGCGATTTTTGCAAGGTGGCCGGATCGACTCCTCGTCTCATGGCAAAGGAACAGCAATGACTGGTACAGTAGGTGCATTCATTGGCCCGCGAGGACACGTACAAGGACAGGGGTACCAAGTCACGAATGTCATATCCAGGCAGTAGCAGACCGGGTAGATTGAGAAAGTTGGGGAAAATCAAGTTGTAGCATTGAAAGGCTGGTTTCCAAAGCTCCAGGACAGTATCAGAAGTGGGTTGGACACCAATGCATGTTTGGGCAAGAGCAAGGACAGAAGAGTATCCTCTGGCACTGATTTCATCCATGGGTACCAGATGAGGCTGAAAGATGCGAAAGAGAGAGCCCTTGGGGACTTGGAGTGCCTTTAATGCCTTGATATCCACATGTTTCGAAGTCCTGTGAGTGTATACTGCATAGGACATGGCCAGAACAAGGAGCAACAGAAGGGTACCAATAACACCAAGAATGGCTGTCACCGGATTCATCTCCATGACTGGCATGAGAATGCATGTAGAAGTGACGGTGGCATAGTTGGTCGTCATGGTGAAGTTTGACGGTTGTGTACCAGTGCAATCAATGAGGAGTGTAGTGAGCATGCGGATGGTTTGGAAAGAGTGAGTGCTGTGGGCTATCGTACCGGTACTGGCAGGAATGGCACCGGAAATGTCATTTCGGGGAAGATCGATTTATCACCGATTGCCGCGTGGTTTTTAATCTCGGAAAAGTCAGGACGGAGAAGTGGGATTTATTCACGGTGATTAGGGATTGCCGGATCCCTAGGAAAAGTCGAGGTCGGAGAAGAGCTCAAGTTTCTACATGGCTTATCCATCAATTGAGGTACCTGAAGATGCAAGGCCCATGGCTCGACAGGGTTTCTTTGAAGAGAACTTGGAGCATCGTATTGCTCTTGGCATTCCAATCCCATTGAACGAACAAGAATCGAGGGACATGTCGTTCAAGCTCATTGAGCTATACGGCTTCAAATCACAAGATACTGAAAACTTCAGTGCAATCAACAGAGAATTAAGTTTGTATGAACAGCAACGCAGAGCTGTTCACTATATGGGCGAGTGTGCCTATGGACTTTGCATGGCTAACAGTCAAAATCTGTCTAGCAACCCGGGATGGGAGCAGGCACTAAAGTATTATGGAGCTTAGATGCTACCCATAGGTTGACAGTAATTCTATTAACATTATTGTCTTGTTACCTACCTAGGTTTCATAGATATCTAAGCTGCTACTAGCTAGCCAGCTACTACACATGCACAGAGCCAAGGAAAAATTTGTCACGGAATGTTCTTAACACCAGGGTCAAACTGGGTCAATAAATATCTTATAGCCAAGTTGTACTTGTGTACATGTTAGCTTTTTACGTCGCCGCGAGAAGAAGCCACCCTGTACAGGAATGGTGAGAATTCTCAACATTTTCGCTGGAGTAGAGAGCTGTGTCTATCAATTGAAGGATGGATGCCTTGAGTAAAGTCACTGAAAAGTGAAACAATCCGCATCTTCGCACAGAGTTGCTAGCACGGGGATTGTTTCTCTATTGGCTCGACACCAACGAAATGAAGCCTGGAGAGTGTGCACAGATACCGGAACTCCATGGGGAGGAGCGGCGCGAAGAGTTCAGTGTGGCGAATATCAAGGCCTTCGTGCCTCAATCGGAGGCTCCTTTTGTGCTGTCTTAGATTCAACCGAAAGACCATGGAGATAGGTGGGCAACAGGCGATGGCAACAAGTCAAGTCTCTAAACGCAATCATTTTCAGCCAATTTTGGTTGCTGTGTCAGAGCTAGCAATGCTGTCCTCCTCTCTCCTGTCTCCTACACTAAGAGTGGGTGGTGATAGGCGCCTCTACTCAATCATAACAACAACACACATGTGTCTATCCTCGTGTAATGGTGGTCGATTGGTGTCGGGGGTGAGTTCATGTAGCTTCTTCTCCGGCGAGAAGCGATGTGACTGAAAACTGGGGCGGTCAGAAGTGCCAAATCCGTGCAAGCTGCGCCATACTACAATTGCTGCGGGCCGTCTAGAGAATCATCGGCTTCAACATTTTCACGTCTATTATTTAGTAAGAAGTAGCTACTGTAGCTTTATTGGTGAACCTCAGAGCTTCCATTCGCCTCCAACATTCTGCACTACTGTACTTAGTTCTCCTCTGCAACTTGAAAGTAAATTTCAAACCTGTGCAAGGCTTGAAGGGCGGCTAGAAAGGAAACCAGCTCGACCATGTTCTCGGCTGTAATCGAGGAAGCTTCAATTTCATCAATAATGCTCTCCGTCATGCGACTGGGATTGTAAGATAAAGCCTTTGCTGCTTTCAGTAGCAACGCTTTGTTGTTGTTGCTCTTGGAATATTTGTCTTCCACTTCGCTGGCCAAGACTTGCTGCAGCTCTGACTTCAACTGTTCATTCTGCAACTGACCGCAGTATTGGATCCCCGCCAATACTTTGGTCGACAACGCAATCCCATCCGAGACAAAGTTCTTGCTGAGAATAGCCGTCAGAGCCCGTCGCAAGCGAGCGTGCTGCAGCTTTCGCAGCACCGGAAAGGTTGCCCCGGTCAAGTCCTTCAAAAAGGCAATGCAATCTTCCACCTTGGTAGGGACCCCCTTCGCCAATTTGGAATCCAACGAGGCCGCTCCACCTGGACGCAACCCTTGGTAAATAATGGCCAATTGCAGTGTCCAATCGTCCTTGGGTGGCACCGGCAGTGCTGCCTTCGGGTCGTTCAATGCCAGTCCAAGCGTGGCAGATTTGGAGGGAACAAATTTTGGGTCGATGTGTTCCATAGTTTCGCCGTAGGCATCTGCCTCCAAAGGAATGGCCAATCCATCCATGTATTTGTTGAAGGCTCCAAACATGGCAGCAGCCGCCACAATCCATTCCTCTTGCCCTGGCTTTTTCAGAGTCTCTTGGAGCAACCGAACATCCTCTTTATTGAGACAGGCTGGCACCGTGCCCAGACCGTAGGATACTCGAATTACTGCTCGTTCGGCCGGTGTCACCTTGGTGGCAGCATCCTTGTTCAAAATTGCCTCGAGTGAGTTTCGCAAAGTGGCCGGATCGACTCCTCGTCTCATGGCAAAGGAACAGCAATGACTGGTACAGTAGGTGCATTCATTGGCCCGTGAGGACACATACATGGACAGGGGTACCAAGTCTACAAGGTCATATCCAGGCAGTAGTAGTTCGGGTAGATTGAGAAAGTGGGGGACAATCAAATTGTAGCATTGAAAGGCTGGTTTCCAGATCTCCAAGACGGTATCACAGGTGGGTTGAACACCGATGCATTCTTGGACAATGGCAAGGACAGAAGAGTATCCTCTGGCGCTGATTTCGTCCATGGGTACCAGATGAGGCTGAAAGATACGAAAGAGAGAGTCCTTGGGGACTTGGAGTGCCTTTAATGCCTTGATATCCACATGTTTCGGAGTCCTGTGAGTGTACACCGCATAGGCCATGGCCAGAAGGAACAGCACCAGGAGAATAACAATAACGCCAAGAACGACTGTAACCGGATTCATCTCCATGATTGGCATTTCACTTAGAATAGAAGCAACGGTGGCATAGTAGCTGTTGGTCGTCATGGTGGAGTTTGACGCTTGTAATAGCAGACCCAGGAATCTAGTGGTTCTGCTGATCTTGCTACTAGCTAGCTAGCTAGCTTGTTGCAATCGCAATCTTCGGAGTTTTGAAAAAGTGTGAGGGTTTGCGAACACGGTTTGAACTGGCACGTCGTTCAAAATTTACAAGCGGTTGCTCCAACGAATTCCGAGTGCTGCAGGAATGACGTATTCCTAACTAATGACAAATGACTGTCACTCTTATTCTTTAGATCTCCGATTGTTATGGAAAAAATCCTCCTTCACAATGGAGTTTCCATTTCACATTTCTCGGTTTCGTGAAATTACAGCTTTATTATTAATAGCTTTATAACTAGTCTAATTGTTCAATAGTTGTTATTTTAAAATACAAATTCGTGAAAACGCATTTGCAAAAAGCTGAGTCATTCTTCCATTTTCCTGGAGTACCGCCGCGGACTCTGAATCACCCACCAATAAGTGACTCCTAAAGTGAGGGTTCCCAAGAGAGCGTTCACTCCCAAAGGCCATTGTCAGCAACTTTTGCAATCGATACAGCCCCACTGACGCCAGTAAAGGAGACTATCAATCATTCATCAAAAGACCAAGCATGGACTCTCTTCCAGGATCTAGTAGTAGACAAGAACCGAACCAAGTGCAAGCCGATGACAATGAGGCAGCCAGGAGAAATGAAGAAGAAGCGGTAGCTGAGAATCAGGGTGCACCCGTTCAACCAGCACCGGAAGGAGGAAACAATGATGACGACGAGGCGTCTATAGATAGCTTAGACGACTACGACGACGAGGATGATGATGAGGACGAGGAGGCTCCCATCCCCGCAGTCATCCAATCCCACAGCCCCGATGGACCCGAGCGCATGGCGCTGACGGAACAAGAACGCACGTGGGCGCTTGCCATCAAACAAGCCTGTCTCGACGATCCGGATTTGGACCCGCGCAATGACTTTTTCTACGCCCAGCTGGCTCTGGTGGACCACGGCAATGTCGCCTCGGCTGTGGAACGAGCACAACAGATGCAGTACTTTCGGCAAGAATACGGCTTGGTGGAGGAAAACGCGGAAATGGCAGCACGCACTTGTCGCGAATTCGTCAAAATGCTGCCCAAATTTTGGTTGAATTTTAGTTACAACAGTCGGGACGGCAACTATGTCTTGGCGGTGGACTGTACCCACTTTTACGTACGAAAAATTAAGGAATCGCAAGGAACCATCAACACTTGGATGCGGGCTACCTATCTCATGTGTCAAGCAGAATGCCCGGATTTGAAAGCCATTCGACAGGGTGTCATCATCTTGGCAGAAACAGACGGTACGTAAGAGATGTTGCTATCTCGACCTGTCTTGTTATTTGGTTGCACAATGAATTAAAATTGGCTTTACAATTCACGTTTTTGTGCCCTTCTTCTTTCTTTTTACTTTGTCATTCAACTAACAACAACACACAGGCTTTGATTGGAAAACCAACTTTGGTTTGGAAGTTTTCAAAAAGTTTTGGGTGGAACTGTGTGCCGTGTATCCATACAAACACTCACAAATCAAGAACTTTCACACGGGAGTACTCTATAATCTATTGCTTTCCATGACCAGACGATTCGTACCCAAAGAAATTCATGAACGATTCCAAATGGGATGCCTGTGTGAACTGGGACGATTGGATGCACTGTATTTGAATCCGACGGTCGAAGCCGCCAATGAGAAATTACTGGCATTCACAGATCATACCCTGCGACGACGATATGCCAACGAAGCGGCATTTACTCTGTGAAGGAAAGCAAGCAAGCAAACAAACAAACAACTCGGTGAAGAAGGTGGGCGGGTGCAACCTTCCTTTCTTGGCCACAATCACAGCAGTGATCCAATACTTCATTACGTAGGAAGAGGTCCGAGTCCAGTCGAGTCGACTCATCTCAAACACCACAATATACTAGTAGCGAATCGAATGTTCTCATCCCAATCACCACAATATGCATGTACCACTAGCAAAATAGGGCTAAAAAGGAATAGGAAAAAGGGATGTCTTTTTTTCCACCTGCCCACGGCTAAACAGCCTGATCCTGCCAACCACCTTGTAGGTTCCAACTCGCGCCTACGTAGTTGGAATGAACAAACCAATTTGGTAGATTGCTGTCGCCTCTACGGGCTGTCTAGCTGCCCCAAAAAGCTGGCGGTATGGCTACGTATGTTGTCTCTACAGCCGTAGCTGGTAGAGGCAACACCTTTTAAAATAGCTCGAAACACGGGGATCGGCTACTACAGGTTTCATGCTGCTTTTCAAGAACTCGTCGCAGTCCATACACGCACAGGTCGTATGACACAATGGCAGTATTTCAGAAAATAGCGGACTGACTGGGTTACCATACCTGGTACCGGTACTCCGGCTATCTTGTGTTGGAGTGGTGCACATTTCAACACATATCATCATCTTGTGGGTGAAGATTGAGAGTCGTCTACGACTGACTGCAATAGGAGCACTATCGGCCAAACGGCGCACAGACACACACACACACATTCGATTCGATTCGATTCGATTCGATTCGATTCGATTCGATTCGATTCGATTCGATTCGATTCGATTCTACTGGAGCTTCAGGAGTAATTGGCCTTTAGAGAGGATGCATGGCGTCGAGAACCATCGGCTCCTCTTCGGCTAGCTAGCGCTACTGGTATGTTGCATGGTCTATGGCAGTAGGCAGCAACACCTCACCACATGGGGATGCCTCGGAATGAACTACAGTTCCGTACGACAAGCAAGGTCTCAAGCCTCTTTTGGAATACTCCTAGTGATCCCCAAGCAGTCCGCAGAGGACGTATGACACACAGTGGCAGTATTTTAGAAAGTAGTCGACTGAATGACTAAAAGGTCTCCTCTTGCTACCGGTAGCTACTCGTCAGAGCTTGCAGTGGTGTGGTGGGAATAGCAAACACAAAGCGTCAATACCCGTACCACTCTTGTGACCAGAGCACTCCCAATTTTGTCTAATTTCATTGGACCATTGGACCCGTGAGCTGATACAGCGTACGCTGATACGGCACAGTAGAACTGCACAAGTATCCAACCAGAATGTCTTCCGCACGCAACCTGGCTCTTTGCCAAAAAATAAATAAATCAATGGGATATCGATGGACATTCTGCTGGATACTCCCTTCGCGCTGTGAAGAACCATTGGGAACCGCAAAAGAATCCCCAAACTGGGTACTTTGTAAATCTGGTGAACTACGCAGCTCCACACAGTCCTAATTCTCACTGGAGATGGTTGTTTTGGTGTCCGAGCATGCGCGAAAGAGGACTCGCTCCTCCCAAGCTCACCCACTCACCACCAACGGTAACAACACCTCACCACTTTCAACTTTCAAGGGAGCGACGCAGCCACATTGCCATGCCACAGTTCATGCTGGTACCGTTTTTTGCTGCTCAGCCTCTCTTATAGATCACTCAAAGTTGCTTCATTCGAAGCACAACTACCCTTTTTGTAGCACAATCTTTGTGCAAGTCGCAACAGAACCAAGCAATTCAAACCTTTCATACCACCATGAAAATCCGAAGACACATCAGCAAGACGCTCAAAGGAGCTCAAGAAGGCAAAAAAGGTTTCAGTGAGAACGTCGCAGGAGCGGCAGGAAGCCTTGGAAAGACTGTGGCTTCAACTGCTACAAATGCTGCCAACACCGTCGCTCAAACCGCAGCAAATGGTGTCAATCTTGTAGGTGATACTGCGCGAACAGGTGTCACTGCCGTTGGTACCACAGCTCTATCAGGTGTGTTTTCTGTAGTATCGGATGATACGCGCTCTTTGGAATTTGGAGTTTTTCCGGTGTCTAACATTCTGATTCGATTCTTTGCAACTTGATGATATCAGGTGCTCATCTGGCAGGAACAACTGTTCTAACTGGTGCAAATTTAGTGGGAACCAAAGCGCTTACAGGAGCCACAACAGCAGTGACAGCTGCTGCCTTGGCTGCTACCACAGGTGTTGGCACTGTTGGTCAAGTTGGTCAGTTTGGATTGCATGGAGCAACAAACTTGGCACACACACTCAGTGGTGGCTCCCTTCATGGATCTTCACACCATTCCTCCAGGCGAGGATACATTGATGATGTCACTGAAATGGATGTCTTCTGTTCAGATCTCTATTCGAATGAGTTTGTGCTGGAAGAAATCCAAAAGGCCAAGAAGGATCCACTCATCACAAAGCTCACCATTGAAGATTTGATCATGCGTGACAATGACAAGCTCATGAGAGCAGCAGTCAACCTGGTGTCCAAGACCACATTGACCCCCAAAGATGATGAATTTGATGAGTTTGCAGATGATGATGAGGAACACTTGCCCGCCGGCCCCTATGAACGCAACTGGGAACGGCTAACCTTTTGCGATTCCATTAGCACAGCTGAAGACTACCAATTCTACACTGAGCGCAAAAAGGAATTTCAAGGTGATATCCGAAAGGTTCTGAAGAAGAAGGGAGTGGTCAAGGTTCCCATCAAATTCACTGCCAAGGTTGAAATTGCAATGTTGGATATGAATGAGATGATTGATCTACTGCAGGAGATTGAGCATGATACATCCATTATCAGTGTCAAGTTCCCATATGAGTGCAAAGACATCAAGAAACTACCTACAAAGCTCATCAACAAGTTTGATTTATTAACCCTCCGTTGGAAGGAGGATGCAGACCCGGTAGAGATCCATATCAAATATGGAACCAAAAAACCTACACAGGGAAAGAGGCCAACCCTTCTCGTCAAACAGTGCTCCATCAGATTGGAGCATATTGTCATGAGCTCAAACAGATCAATGGACTTTGACGCAGATGAAGATAGCTCACAAGAGATGCTCCCCTTCGGAAAGGAAAGGAATTGTCACGGTCGAAGCAGCCGAGCTGCATGATGCACGCAAACAATTCTGTCATTGGCAAATCAAGAGTGGAAATGGAACAGATCTTTGGAAGGTCTGTATCCGCTTTGATTGGTTTAGAAGTGACGCGGTACCTGACTCGTTTGGAAGAGTCGTTGTATCGTAGATAAGTGACCTCTTCAATTATAGGTTAGATGTTGCTGAAAATAGCAAGAAGGTCCCACTGCACCAGGACAACAAATAGCCATTGCAGCGCTGTAGTACATCGCAAGCAGCGAATAACCTGTATGCGGGCTGTGGTTCCGTGACGGGCACGGCCTGAACACCGCACCTTGGTAAGAGAGTGTAATGGCAGACAGTAGAATCAGACTGCTGCTCCTGTTCCTGATCATAATCCTTGTTATACACACGTAGAATCGCTACTGTACGTGATAGGCACGCACCTCAGTACGCTATTAATTAATAGAATTGTTATGCCAGACAATACCAGTCGGAGTCGAATCGAATCAGACTATTGATCCTTGGTGAACACAACGTCCATGACGGCCAAGCCAAACTGAAATGAAACACCGCACCTCAGGCCGAGAATTGCATGTCAGGCAGTAGATCAAACTTGTGCTCTTGATCCTTGCATCGTACCGTATGGATACTTCGAGCCATCGTGGCCAAAACGAGAGCAAGTTGAAAGGCGGCACGACGATCATGCACCGGTACGTCATCTCTCTCGGCCTATAGATACATCGGCCTACATCGGCCTACATCCGCTTTTCATTGCTGTTGATTGATTGAATCTCGCAATTCACGATAACGAAATACGTACCGTAGCTGTGGAGGTAGAGAAAATACATAGCTGATACTTCGACTTTGATCTGGCTCCCCAAGCCCCAAGTCAAAGATATCAAAGGCGAGGGTCGAAACTCGAAGGTGACGATGCGGTTTCCTACGGTTCGGTAGCCGTGCTATCTAGAGTATCCTACAGTGCCGGCGGGAGCCGGGAGCAGCTCTTTTGCTTTCGAAAGAGTTGACTGACTCGAAGCAAAAGTTCCGACCAATCTATAATAATATGCTTAGTGAGGGCACATCAGAACGAGCCGGTAAGTTTCTTGCGACTGGATAAAAGCATGAACGTGGTTGGACACTGGTTTCATCTCTTTCTAATTCTTTTCTGGTCTTGCTGTAGAACCACCAGAAACCGGAGTACCAGTCGCGAAGCAATGACCTCCCTTTGGATTCAGAAGACTACATACATGTATGATGCATGTACATGTGGTACATCCATATCCGGTACCGGTACGGTCGAATCTTTCAATCATTCATTATTCCTTGCGTTTGAAATTGCAAACAACCCAATCAAAAACCCAGGCCACATTCTCGTCCTCGCAAACAAACTGAACAGGCCCTCGTATCTACCATAACATTTCAACCACTTCTAATATCCCCAGATCAAAGAGCCGACATGGTACCTACTAGTAGCATCTCTAGACCCAACAGTAACACCAGCTTGCGTCGCGTCCCGGCTCGAAGAACTAAGAGTGACAAGTCAACAGAGGTGCCTACCAGTACTAGCTGTGCTAGATATAGTCACACCAGCTTGCGTCGCGTCCCTGTTAGAACAAAGAGTTGTTCTAGCAGTGACAAGTCAACAGAGGTTCGAAGCGGTAACAAAACGCTTACACAACTCAGGTCCAGTTTAAAAGGATTGAGCCCCATAAGGGTCAGCCGGGGAGCAGTCAGCCCCGTTAGGGCAAGTGCAAGAGTTGTCGGAAATCTTGGAAAGGGCGCTGTCACAACTGTGGCTTCAACTGCAAAGAAAACTGCGACCACAACTGCCAGCACCGTAGCTCAGACTGCAGCCACCAGCGTCACTGTGGTTGGCAGTACAGCCCGTTCAGGTGAGCTTCTAACAACTCAATTAAAACCGCATGACGTCGTTTTGGAGCCTCGTCTGTTGCTAACTCTGGGTGTTGTGCATTGTTCTGTCAACAGGCGCTCAAAAGGCGGGAACGACATTTCGCACTGGAGCCAACTTGGTGGGAACGAAAGCTCTCACAGGTGCAAACTTGGTGGGAACCACAGCTCGCACTGGTGCCAATCTAGTTGGAACCACAGCTCTTACTGGTGCCAATCTAGTTGGAACTACAGCTCTGACAGGTGCAAATCTAGTTGGAACCACAGCTCTAACTGGTGCAAATCTAGTGGGAACAACAGCCCTTACAGGAGCCACAACAGCTGTCACTGCTGCTGCCTTGGCAGCCACCACAGGTGTTGAAACAGTGGGGCAGGTTGGCCAGCTAGGGCTGACCGGAGCAACTAACTTGGCACACACATTGAGTGGTGGTTCCCTTAATGGATCTCCCCACCATTCTTTCTCCAGGTCCCGCCGAGGGTGTATTGAGGATCTTGCCAAGATGGATATCTTTTGCTCTGACCTCTATTCTGATGAGTTTGTGCTTGAAGAAATCAAAAAGGCCAAGAAGACTCCACTCATCACAAAGCTTACAATTGAGGACTTGATCATGCGTGACAATGACAAGCTCATGAGAGCTGCAATTAACCTTGTGTCAACAAGCACAATGACCCCCAAGGATGATGAATTTGATGAGTTTGAAGATGATGAACACTTGCCATCAGGTCCCTATGAACGCATTTGGGAGCATCTGACCTTTTGTGATTGTATTGGCACAGCTGAAGACTACCAGTTCTACAATGAGCGCAAAAGGGAATTCCAGGATAACATCCGCAAAGTGCTCAAGAAGAAGGGTGTGGTCAAAATGCCCATCAAATTCACTGCCAAGGTTGAAATTGCCATGTTGGACATGAATGAGATGATTGATCTTCTGCAAGAGATTGAGCATGATAAGTCGATTATCAGTGTCCAGTTCCCACATGAGTGCAAAGGAATCAAGAAGCTTCCTGCAAAGTTGGTCAACAAGTTTGATGAGGAAAGCCTACGGTGGAAGGAGGATGCTGAACCCGTGGAAATTCACATCAAGTATGGAAGCAAGAAACCAGCCAAAGGGAAGAGGCCGACCCTTCTTGTCAAACAGTGCTCAATCCGACTAGAGACTATTGTTTTGAGCTCAGGTAAAGGGTGGGAGTATGATGACAAAGATGGAAGCAATTTCGATGACTTTTATGGATCTTCTTCAAACCAATCTCCCAGCAGTCGAGCAGCATGACCACAGTCTTACCCATCAACATGGGACCAAAATGATCTCGTTCGAAGAAATTGAGATAGGATTGGTAGAGCGAAGCGGTTGGTAGAGTTCTTCATTAGATCAACTTTTTAGAGTATTTTGTTATCCTTAGATTCCAGTCATTGCACTGCATAAAAAGGTCGGCATCCTTCGGCAGCGATCGTTGTACTGCTTTGAGCATGGAGCATACCGTATGCATATCGATTGATAGATAGAAGAGAAGACGGCCCATGTGTTGGTAACGCGAGTGAGAGGGGATGCCGCAACTTGTGCTGTCGGTATAGAGCAAACTGAGATCCACCCTTCCACATTCAGCCAATGGTCGCCCCCCTGGAGACCTCAATGGATGCAGCTATCAACGGACGAATAATCATAAGGCAAACGCAACTCAAACACTCCAGCTAGTCGCTTCGCTCTCGTTAGAGCTTGAACAGGGTCTTGAACCTTTCCATCGAGCAGCCAGGATCTGAAATTCCAGGCTTCTGGCTGGGTGTGGTCAACCAAGCTGCGCCCTCCCTTCTTCTACGGCTCGCGTGGCTGCGGTTCTCCTATGCAGTCTCCGTGCAAAGAAGAATTGCATTGTAAGAGCTATTGTAAGAGAGCATTCGTTCTGGCTACTACTAGCTAGGCAGTCTACAACTGGCAATATCATGGTGCGTATTTTATGGTACAGTAGATTCCATTACACTCCTATCTACTACGATGTAGTCAGTAGGTGCGCGTTGCAGCGTTGACCTGACTAGCCAGTAGCTGGCCATTCTGATTCTTCGGTTGTGAAGGTGCTGCTTACTCCTTGGAGTGATAACCGTGATACCGTATTCTGTTTAGTTCCTGTAGTTGCACATTCGGATTCTTCTTACATTCTTTCTCTGGGCGATTGGCCTGGCTGTTTGCGTTTGCCGGGCACTGGGCACCTTTTCAATTGAATAGAATTCTATTTTAAGGCTGCTCTGAGTACGACTGTCCACCGTGCCGCTACCCTAAACCGATAACCCCCACAAACATTGGGGCGCAGAAAGTTGGCCTCCTCAGCCGGGAAAGTTTAAAACCCAACCGAGGCAAGATATTAAGGGGGGAAGGTCACCAACCGGACCCGCCCGTGCTGCTGCTGTCATCAGCACTGCTACTAGCTGCACTATTGCTGATAGTGTCAACACTGCTGTCATCTAAATCTAGATCAGACCCGAAAGCCTGATCCAAAGTTGCTGCTGACTCATGGAAGGCTGCGGCCAGTTGTTGCTGCTCTCTGCTTGCTTTGTCCACCACTGGCATCCAATTGGAAAGCCAGGCTTTGATATTGGACGGTGCCATTTCCATTTGGTCCTCTAGTGGCCTTTTGAAAATGGAGTTGACAAGAGACATTGGCACTTGGTCTGCCTAAGCTCCACTTCTCGTTGAAGCTGTACCTTTTGCTGACTGGAATTGGTTCTTTTTTCGTCCCAATGAGCTTCCCGATTCCCGATGTCTGTGCGACTGGTGAATCCTATTTTGCTGAGCAGGATCGAGAACTGCCCTTTAAGGCTCTTCTAATCAATGATTATTGAAGAAGTGCTCTTGATTCATTGAATGATTCGATTCGCAAAAGGAAACCCAAAAAGCCGCCACGCAAAGAGTTCTGACGAATGCAGCCGGAATGCTAAGAGCAGTGGACAGCCAGCCGCTCCAGCCAAAGTCGCCACGCAAGTCTCCTTTCTTCTTCTTTTCTTCTACCAGTATCAGGGTCATTCCAGACTCCTACCGTAGAAAACACAATGTTGCGGATAAGCATAAGTACCGCACCACAGTTGTCGTGTTGCAGGGTCTGCAAACCTGGAAAAGTTCACTGTGATTACTCAACCAGCAGCTCAATCAGCACTCCTCCCCTCTCCTCGGACCAACCTTCTCCTTCAAAGCTCATAAACATCGATTGAATCAATCATCCCAGCACACTTCAAACTCCACCATGCGCAACATCCAGAGATCGATCAGCGAACGGTCGAAAGGAGGTAGATCTGGTAAAGATGGTAAAGCCAGTCGGAGATCTGTTAGTCCTATCAGGGTCGCCTCCCAAATGGCCAACACATACGTCAACAATGTTCTATATTTGTCCAACACAGCCTTGAGCAGTGTGACAGCAGCAAGCGATACAGCCGTCACAGGTACGTATGGAGCTCATACATGCAGGGCGAATATCACCCATTCACATGATTTGGAGTTTGGCTAACCGATTGCAACTCGATCTCTTCATTTTCCAGGGGCTCAGCAAGCAAGCGCGACAGTGCGAGCTGGAGCAGACTTAGTAGGAACCACAGCTCTTACTAGTGCAGCTACAGCCGTTACAGCTGCAGCCTTGGCAGCTACCACAGGTGTTGGCACTGTGGGACAAGCTGGTCAGATAGGCCTGACTGGGGCAACAAACTTTGCAACCACACTGACTGGTTCCCTGCATGGATCTCTGCATGGGTCTCTCAACAATTCCTTCTCTGGATCTCGCCGTGGGTACATTGAAGATATTGCCAAGATGGATATCTTTTGCTCTGACCTCTATACTGATGAGTTTGTGCTTGAAGAAATCCAAAAGGCCAAGAAGAATCCACTCATCACAAAGCTTACAATTGAGGACTTGGTCATGAGAGACAATGACAAACTCATGAGAGCAACACTTAACCTTGTGTCCAAGAGCACCATGACCCCCAGGGATGAATTTGATGAGTTTGACGATGATGAAGAGCACTTGCCATCGGGTCCCTATGAGCGCGACTGGGGATGTCTCACCTTTTGCGATTGCATTGGCACAGCAGAAGACTACCAGTTCTACACTGAGCGCAAAAAGGAATTTCAGGGTGATATCCGCAGAGTGCTCAAGAAGAAGGGTGTAGTCAAAATGCCCATCAAATTCACGGCCAAGATTGAAATGGCTCTGCTCGACATGAATGAGATGGTCGATCTACTGCAAGAGATTGAGCATGACAAGACGATTATTGATGTACAGTTTCCCTATGAGACCAAGGATGCGAAGAAACTACCAGCAAAGTTGCTTGACAGGTTTGATGAATTGTCCCTTCAGTGGAAGGAAGGTGCTGATCCAGTGGAGATCCACATCAAGTATGGAACCAAGAAACCCACAAAAGGGAAACGGGCAACCCATCTTGTCAAGCAGTGCTCCATTCGATTGGAGCATATCGTCATGAGTTTGAACCAAGGATGGACATTTAAGGGAGACCTTGGTGATTCTCCTCACGCATCGTCGAGCCATTCAACCGGCTATGAAGCCCTCATTCGTGGCAGCCTCGCCGCATGACAGTCGACCACAAGCTATTACCAAAGGTGTTGGAAAGAGTTTAGATTCACAAACGCAGAAGTCGCTAAAAGCTACATTTAGGCTAATAATTAGAACAAAAACTCCCTTGCATACCTCTTCTTAGCCGTCCACTCTACCTTGCTTGAGCCTCTCTGCTTCGGCGGCGTGCATGTTGAAGACTTGCTCCAAGCTCGTTTGGCTGATACCATAATCAGCCAGCCTCAGGTTTTCCTTGTTCTCTTCAATGAACGCAAAAATTTGGGCGATGCTCACATCTGCAGAGCTAATCTCGAAGCGCGCCTTCATGTCCTGGCGTTCACGTAGAATACAGGTTGGGTACTGCCCGAACACAACCCCTCCGAGATGACGCATCCTCAATTCGTTTGCGACAAATGAAGACAAAGTACCCAACGACACACCACTTGCAGAGGTTGCGTCCTTGAATACTGCAAATCCTGTCGGGTTGTCCTGATTCAGCATACTGGACAAGTAGTCATCCTGGGTCAAATTGAAAAGGGCTGACTGTGCCTCTTGCAAGTTGAAGAATGCTTCTGTGTTTTCGGGCACTTCTTCCTCGTCGGCAGCGATATGTCCCTTGGATCGAGCTAGGAACACTTGATTAAGCCTGCAGTCATCGTCATCTCTTGAGACTGCCGCAACCTTCAACTCAAGCTGGAAGCCTGAACACAAGTAAGTGAGAAATGCAACGCTGCTTGCATGTGCACTAAAACTTTCTATCGTTGGTTTTGCACGGTCCTTACCTTTACCGAATTTGGTCTTCAGATGCTGTGCAGAACCGAGGCATCGTAGTTTCCCATTTGCCATGATTCCGATGCGAGGGCACAACGCCTAGATGCAAGCAGCGAGCGTGTGAAGGGAGATTAGCTATCATTCGCTTGCACCGGTATAGGTTGGCAACTGCATGTTCTCGACTTACTTCGCACTCCTCCATGCTATGGGTCGTCAGCACAACACTAGCCCTGCGATTGTCTGGTCGCTCCTCTGACACCAGGTCGGAAACCATTTGCCAAATTTCGCGCCTTGCCACGGGGTCTACCCCAGTAGAGCACTCATCGAGGAACCTGCAAACAGGGGGACCAAATGCTTGAGATCGTCATAATAATATCCGCGACAGTTTCTCTGAACCAATCAAACAACTCTTACACTAGTTCCGGTTGTCCAATGGTGGCGCACGCTAGACTGAGACGACGTTTCATACCACCACTGTAGTTTGAACTCAGGCGGTCGCTGTCCTTCTTGCTGAGACCAACCTGGGCCAGCTTTGTTGCTGCGGCATCTCTGTAATCAGGAACGCCCTTGATTTGAGCGTACATTTCTACGTGTTCCCTGCCTGTCAAGTTGGTGAAGTGCTGCAATCGCCCAGACAAAACAACGTACAAACGATCAGTAAGAAAACACAGGCACCGACCGTGTTTAACCCTTCCAAGCAATTCGTCAACGTACCGCATCAAACTGAGAATGCAGGACAAAGCTATATGTGAGCGCCACGGCATGCTTCACCTTGATGCGTCTCTTGATGCAAGCGGCTCAAAATTCGTTCACTTACCTGTGGGCAATAGCCAATCCTTCGACGGGTTTTCTCGGGCTCTCTACGGAGGCTGTACCCTGCTAGAGTTGCGTCGCCACCTGTTGGAGGAAACTCTGCCGTCAGCATCGCCATCGCAGTCGTCTTTCCGGCTATAGAAAAGTGCATCGGAGCAATGATTGAACCATGTTGGACTAAGACAATCGGCAAAGAGATCCACCAGGATGTCTAACGAACTTACCACCATTGATTCCTAGCAAACCAAAGCACTCCCCCGGTGCAATACCCAACGATATATTGTCAACTGCAATCTTGCCGTTCTGATAGACTTTGCTTAATTCGCTCATGACAATGGCGTCGTCATTGGCTTGTCCGTTCAAGACCCTTTCCTGTTCGGCGACAACGTCGTCATCGTCAGCAATGGTCGCAACCTCACTGTACTTGGAGGACCTTCGGCAACCAAAGAGCTTGTTCCAAAATAGCATTGCGCCAGGATTGGAAGACAGCACATCTATGTACATTGCCAACAGCAAATACACAACGCTTTCAGCGGCAAGGAATATAACTTCGTACAGAAGAATATCAGGATCCCAAGCCGAAAGCTTTCTCCCAAGAAGTTGAGAGTATCCTTCCATGTTGATCACATAGAAGAGACCTAAAGAGGGCAGGATGGGCGATGAAATGAAGACAGAAGAAGCAGACATATGGATGTTGGAGTTGCACTTACCCTTGCCCAGGCAGAACGTTGGGAAAAAGCGGCCCACCCACTCAATAGCTATTGCGATTCTCACAAGCTTGTCCTTGGGATCAAACGGATTCGTTCCAATCAACCTGAGAATCAGAGTCGTAATGCTCGCTCCAAGTGCAATCAAAAAGCCAGAAATAATGATAAATACGTTGCACAAGCTTGGACTTTTGAACATGAAGGAGATGCAATACGACATCGCAGCCGCTGCTGGGCCAAACAGCAAAAGAAGCATCAAGACACCGCTGAGTACTCCATTCTCCGTTGTAGTGAACACGGTCATGTCAAACGCGAAGAGAAGAATGACTGCAACGGAAAACGAGGGGTGAGTCAGCAGCCAACGTTGTTTGGTGGATATGCGTGACTTCCTTACCTGTTATGGTGAAGGGGATAAGATAGTTTGTGGAATCCCACAGAAATGTTGAAATCCAATAGGCCGACGGTTTGACCCCTGCAACTGTTTGAAGATGCTTTGCCTTAGATTCTCTTTCTTGGACAACAAACGTCGCAAATCTGAATGAACGAGTGTGATTTCGCACGAAAACGGGTAAGCTTCGTATGGTTCAATCGCAAATAAATGGGCATCAAACTTACGCTCCACCAATGAATGGGAAGCTCCTGGAAAAGGGGAAATCAACCAGTGAGGAAAAGGAAGAGCAAACATCATAGACTCTCACAGATGCGCAAAATCCATTCTGCACACTATAGAGTACTTACAATACAACGAGGAACCAGAGAATGATCGAGTCGCCCGCAGCAGCATACTTTTCTTCTTTCTGGGTGACAGGCATGGGATGAATAGAAGCAGAAAGTTTGAACTCGGAGCTGCCCGTTGCGTGTCGAACGATTGATTCGTCAGCAAGCATTTGGAAAAGAGGCTAACAAGGATCCGGATGTCAGAATGCGTTAGTTGCAGAATAGGGGCGTGGCTTCAACTCCAGCAACTTCATCACTTACGGCGCTGTGCAAAGCTGTAAAGTTGTAGGTTACAACGTAGCCAATCCCGGTGCCGTACAGGTCGCACTCAGATTCTTGCATGTAATCACCTGTATTGTTTGCGCACAATGCTGAGATGGTGTCGCCGTAAGAAACGTTTGAGTTCGACTGAGTGACACTGCCAGCCTCGTGCGTAAAGAAGATGCCCCCATACATAGTCGCAGGAAGACTGTATGATCTTGCAAACAGGTACATTGCGGTCTAGAGACAACGCGGGCGTCAGCTGTTGATGGATTCACGGTATGAACCGCTGAGCTGTTCGTTTGATCTTACCTCCTGGATGGTTTCAACGTCTCCGCCGACAGCATCAGCCCCTGCTTGGGAAAGTTCATCAACCATTAGCTTCGAATCATCAATCGAACAATACTCTTCCCGACTCGACGCAAGGGCTGCCCCCCCGCAGAAATAATATGTCTCGTTGGTATCTTTCAAGGTATAGTTAACTCGTTGCATCGTACACCTTCCGGGGTTGCATGTGTAGTAAGTTTCTGGATTATTGAAAGGGATTGGGTTTCTGATTTCGTCCTCTGGCATTTCGGGGTTGTAGTCGTTCAGGTTTAATGGGAGCGCCTCGAGATTTCTGGACGGAATGGCATACTTCAAAATGAGCAAGCCAAAAAGCACAAACATGCTTGGAGTCACAGTGGTACAGCACCACGCCTTTTTGTCCCTCTTGAAGTTGGCTCCTCTCTTCTTCCACAAGGCATGAACGTGAGTTCCAAACAGGTTTCCATTGTCGAGGTCCATCTTTGACCTCACGCTCCTCTCGTCAACGTCATCCCCAGTGGCCAGGTTGCTGCTGCTGTTGTAACGTGACGACGTGAACTCTTTCTTGTTCCCTTCCCCACGAGCAACAAGCAAGAAGACTTCGTCGAGTGTTGTGATGCTCAAGCCATAGGCGACAATACGCCCTCTTGCCTTTTCATCGTCCAAACGCTCCAGCATGGGAACAAACTTGTCGGACGCGCTCAAAGGGAGCTGAAAGCTTAGTTCAGTGCCAACGTCACTCAACAGAGTTGCTTCCGCGACGGAACCAACCACAATGTCTTTGAGGTCGTCCTCGTTGACGATGTCCGAGCCAACACCATTTGCGTCGGGGCTGAAGCTTGTTGGTTTTTCAATTGTGAGCTGGTACCCAACTCCGTACGTTCTCTTCAAGAATAGTGAGCTACCGCAGCATCGTAAGCCCCCATCGGACATGATGGCAATTCGGTCCCCTTAACATTGTAGCAAGCAAAGAAGTCAGTTTCAGTGTTCGACAAGTGCAAACAGTCAGTGTTATACGGTGCGTACCAAGAATGTCGGCTTCGTCCATAAAACTGCGAGGAGACGCACAGCAAGCAGTTAAATACAGGGCACTTTGACACGTCCGAATTTATCGCGGGAGGTCTTACTGAGTGGTGAGGATGATACAGCGATCTTGCCGATACTGTCGGATCACGTTCCAGGAGAAGCGACGAGAGAATGGATCCATGCCACTACAAGTTTGACGGGAGACAGACAAACGTCAGCTTCAAGAGTTGAGCGTTCGAAACCGAGATTTTCACTTAGTGGTAATAACCTACCTGGTTGGTTCGTCGAGGAACCTGCGTGCAATGGAAGATAAAGCCGGCGTGAGAACGCCAAAAGTCTTCCACCCAGACACGGCAAAAAGTACAGAAGCCACTTACACAACTTTGGACCCCCCACAAAAAGCCATTGCTACACTAAGCTTCCTTTTCATTCCGCCCGAAAGATTGGACGAGTATGTGTGGCTTTTTTCCTCGAGTGCCACATCTCGAATCGCCTGGTCGATACTGGCTTCCGCCTCGGCATTCGACATCTTTCCGTATATGCCTTTCAATCGACTAAAGAACTGGACGTGTTCCCTCACAGTGAGTTTGGGAAATAGGCAATCATGTTGCAGGCAGATACCAATGTTGCCTCGAATCTCTCTCATGTCGCGACGAATGTCCTTCCCCACAATAGTTGCAGTCCCCTCTGTTGGAGCCAACGCGCCAGTGAGCATACCAATGGTTGTCGTCTTTCCGGCTGACGTATGGAACCAGGGACATTTGAAGTTCAAAAGTGTCAGTTGTGCTCTTCATCGCACTCCCTGCCCAACTTGAATGACCAGCTCACTTACCTCCGTTGTGGCCCAGTAATGCTGTAATCTGTCCATTGTAGATCGAGAGGTTCAAACCGTCCACGGCAACTTTCTCCCCAAAGTCCTTGCGCAGATTCTTAATTTCAATGTTTTGTCCCTCTCGCTCCTGTTGCTTGAGCGCATCCGAGACGGGCTCCAAGGGGATGCCGCTATCCTCGTTCTTTGCTTCATTGAATTCGCCGTCATCGTCGGGGACCGATCTTCCTGGCCACCAATACGACATGGTAAACGGAAACCATGGTGGCAAGGCCTGCCCGTAGGCAGGCGGAACGACACGGTTCAAGTACCAAGTGAGAATTCCCAGTACAACCGACGACAGGAGTAGATTGCCATATGCATTGCTAAAGGTGTATCCCGAAGGTGCATCCGTGGATACCATGGACGAAAAGGTCAATCCGACACCCGAATCTTCCAATCTTCCAAGTTCTTGAATCGCATAGGCCATGGCACTGACTGGATGCAATGACACGAGCGACAGAACGGCAGGATTTCCAGTTTCCACACTGGCCACTTGAGTCAGAAAGTATCCTGCAAAGACAACCAGCAGTCCTATCAAGACGCCACGAGTGGTTTTGGACACCAAGGTACTCAGTAGCATGCTGAGTACTACAAATCCCAGGAAGCAAAATTGCCAGAAGACAAAGAGCAGAATGAAATCCGAGTTTTCAAAGAGGTTTCCACTGACCAATGACACAAAGGTTGCCGTGACAAAATGAAAGGCCCAAAAGGAGAGGAACCAACTCCATCCCAACTCAGATTCGGTGACCCCCATCATTTTCATGAGTTCTTTTTGTCGCAGTTCCTTCTCTTGTACGATATAGGAGATCATGGCGGCACAAGGATAGAGAATTCCCAACGTCAACAAGAGTGGCATGAACTGCGCCAATTCTCCATAGAACCCCTTGACCTCATACGGCTTGGAAGGAAATTTCACATAGCGAACACCATGTTCTGCAACAAAGTAGCCTTCTTCCTTGGCGTTCGTCACCACTGCCAAGACATAGTCCTGTACCAATCGTTGAGTGGCCAAGAATCCATTGTATATGTATTGTCCAGTGCAACTAGATGACAAGGGTCCCTGACTTGCAGATGCTCCCACTGGTGTACAAACCGAGTCGGATTTGGCATGATGATCAAACAGTTTGGCCGTGTTGGGTGTGGTAGTTCCAGTCAGTTCGTCAGCCTCAGGCTTGTTGATATTGGTGCTATTGACGCGGATTGTATATTGAACATTGCTTTCGTCGTTTCCTTGAAAGACAACGGCCACTCCAATTTGTTCCTTTCCAGTGGTCCCGTAATCGCTGGCTTTGACATAGTCATCAATACTTTTGCTGCTATCAAAGATTTGAACAAAGGAATAGTTGTTTGGGAAATGCGTCAACTCTGGATCGGATAATTGAGGATATCGTTTGTCAATGTAGGATGAAAAGTTCAGGGCTCGTTCTCGACCGGCCGTGTCCGAGGCATCATTGGGTGCCAACACCATGATGGGATAGACGCAATAGGGATATGCCTCTTCTCCATCTTCCTGACAGTTGCGGGAATCGCACTTGACAAATGGAACTTGCCAATCGTAGTTGTTATCAGGCAAGCCCGTAATATCAAAACTTCCACCCCCACGTGCTATGCAGTAACGCTTGGCCACAATAGCCGTGACGAAATCCGAAAATGTCAGCGGTTGAAGGGTATCATAGAGGGTAGGAATGTCTGCCGGGATACGGGTAGGTATAAAGCTGCTGGCATCATCGGCCAGGTTCTTGATCCACAACAAGAGACCTGCAAAGGCGATTGGAAGCGCCATTTCAAGGAGCTAAGGAAGGGAAAAAGGAGAGAAAGCAGAAGTGATGGGTCAGCAACGACAGAAAAAAACCTCCAACTGAATATACCAGGGATATCCACACCGGAAGGCATTGGTTGACTTGCTCTACTTACAGTGGCAATGAAGTATCGTCTGCGATAAAGCAAATTACGCCGCATGAGCGCGTAGAACTGGGGTGTGCAGCACACCATGGTGAATTTCTAAAAGAGGTATGGTTGGATGGAATCGGAGCTGTTGGGTGGATCTGTTTGTAGTAACTAAAATGGTATCTGAAGGTTAATGGCCCCAATCTTGCTGGTACGACCCCACAGTAAATTACAAGTGCTTCGTGTTGTTGCAAGGTTGATTGCCAGTTCGACGGATCGCTACTGTATTGGTTCACCAGCGTGCTCGTACTGGCTAGCTAGTAGCTGCGTTGGAAATGATCGCTCAGAGGCTTTCCCGTCCCATGAGATTTCCCATGTGATGTCGTTGAGATCTGTTTTCTCATTCGTGGAGAAAGTTTGAATTTTGTGGTTTTGGAGCTCGTCAGATTGATCATTCATGGAAATCTTCAGGAAAACGTGACTGGAATCAAAATGGCAAGCAAGCAAGCTAGACTATAATAGCTAGATCTACGGTACCTGGCTACTGTGGCTGGCAGACAAGTCCCCTTGTTTTATGCCATGATGGGAACTCAAGGCAACCAGGAAACAAGAAGACACCATTAGAGCCGCTGCTGTAATTACTTGATAAAGTATCAGCATTCACAAGGCACAGATGAGAAGATGGGTATTGGTAAATTCAGAGAAAGGTAGCAGGAGAATGAAGATGCAGCCAATTCTTCTTTCTCAGCAAGGCATATGGCTGTGTTGCTCCAATGAAAGAGCTCCAAAGAGCTTTCTACCTCTGATTTCATTTTTGATATTCCTGGCTCCACCAGTCAGATGACATTGTAACTGGCTCATGCGACAGTCCACACTTCATCATGCACGAGGCTGTGAAGGCCTCATCATTCTCAAAAACAAAGGCAGGAGCTTCAAACGAAGTAAGTGGATGCGGGAAAGAAGAAGCAGCGGTGCTGGCTTTCGTTGTCACGCACATGAACATCGACTTGACTCGACTCGACTCGACTCGAGTCGAGTCACTCGACGAGTCGAATGATCAATCAAATTGAATCACAATCCAAGAATGAATCGAATGAATCTAATCGAATAATGGTTTGAATCGAATGAGTCGAATAATCTTCGAGGATCCCAGGAATGATGCGAGCCACCCATCACCCATCACCCAGCACGTCCTCATTCTTCTTCTTTCTTTTGTCCTTCACCTTCTTACTAATACCCACCCAATTGCACCAAGAACTCACAAAACATCATCACACCATGAGCAACTCCTCTCCTTCGTTTATGCAACAGCTCGAATCACGAGTCCAGGAAGTGAATTCCCTCCTCTGCATCGGATTGGATCCCCATCCTCAAGATCTCAAGACGTTTGCCGAATCTCCCAATTGCTCGCGTCAGACGGATAATCCCGCCGAGATTGCCCTTCAGTTTTGTCAGAATCTTGTCCAGGCGACACTCCCCTATGCCGTCTGCTACAAACCGAATGCTGCCTTTTTTGAAGCTCTGGGTGAAGCGGGTCACATTGCCCTCAAGCAGATTATTGCCGATATTCAAAACCACAAGGTCCCCGTCTTGTTGGACTGCAAACGAGGGGATATTGGTTCTACTGCCACGGCATATGCGCAAGCAGCCTACAGTGAACTGGGCGCGGATGCGGTGACGTTGTCACCACTCATGGGATGGGATTCTGTCGCTCCCTTTGTGACGGACGCCTATGATGGAAAAGGCGCCTTTTTGCTTTGCAAGACATCCAATCCAGGATCCAATGATTTCTTGGCACTCAAATTATTATCAGTGGCAGCAGATGATCAGCTGCAAGAGGAGACTCTCTACCAACAAATTGCTCGTTTGGTAGGTCATGAATGGAACTCCAAAACATCCAACGGCAATAATAATCTTGGACTCGTCGTGGGCGCGACGGATGCGGTCGCCCTTGCCAATGCGAGAAAGGCTGCCGGTGACAAGGTTTGGATTTTGGCACCTGGAGTGGGTGCACAAGGGGGGGATTTAGTTACGGCCTGTAAGGCTGGTTTGAATTCTCAAGGGACTGGTCTTTTAGTGCCCGTCTCGAGAGGGATTTCAAGAGCCGCTGATCCAGCCAAAGCCGCCGAAGAACTGCGAGATGCCATGAGAACCGCCATTCAAGAATGTGCCAAGGAAAAAGACACAGCAGCAACCAGTGCTACTGCATTGCAAGCCTATCAAAAAGAATTTATTGAATTTGCATTGGAAGAGGGTGTGCTAAAATTTGGTTCCTTTGTCTTGAAGAGTGGAAGAACGTCTCCCTACTTTTTCAATGCTGGCTTGTTTTGTTCGGGAAAATCATTGCATCAACTGGGACTTGCCTATGCTAGCGCCATCATGGACAGCCCAGAAATGTAAGTGTTATGATGGTTTTTTGATGGTTTTTTGAGTTGTTTGTGGATGTTGTATACGATGTATTTACTCATCGGTCATCACCACGTATATTTCGTCTCGATGATATCGGTACACTTTACTCGTCTCAGAACTACAACCGACCCAACAACAAACAAAAAGACTGTGAACTTTGATGTCTTGTTTGGACCCGCCTACAAGGGAATCTCCCTGGGAGCTGTTGTGGGCAGTGCACTCTATGCCAAATACGGCATCTCGGTGGGTTTCGCCTACAACCGCAAAGAGGCCAAAGATCACGGCGAAGGTGGTGTCTTGGTGGGGGCTGAATTGAAATCTCAACGGATTCTCGTGGTGGACGATGTCATCACGGCAGGTACTGCCATTCGGGAGTCACATGGGATGTTGTCCAAAATTGAAGGTGCCACCATGATGGGTGTGGTCATTGCGTTGGATCGGGCCGAGAAACGATCTTTGGATGATCCGGTCAGTGCCGTGCAGGCGGTAGCACGTGATTTGAAGCTACCAGTGGTATCCATTGTCAATCTACCCCAGTTGCAAACATTTTTGAAGTCTGATACAGCCAACTACGGAGCTGAAATCTTGCAGAGTGTGTCCGACTACCGAGCGCAATATGGAGTGTCTGATTGAGGATTGATAGATGTTTTGACAAACTATCCGCCACGTGTGTTTGACAAACCTATCATCAAGTGTGTTTGTGGCTGTTTTCTTGAAATGGATGGTGAAAGAGCTCCTTGGAACGAATGCGTCTCTCCGATACCAGTTGGCTTTGAAACGGCATTGTACTGTATAATTGTTATAAGTGGCACCTGTATCCGTACCGTATCATAGAAGCCATTGCTTTGAGATACAGGTATAGTAATGTACAAAGAGTTTAGGTAACATATTAAAGCCTACAGTGTACCCGTCGAGTATACTGGGGAAGAAAGGAAGAAAGTTTGCAAAGGATAAAATCGGCCACACGAAAACCAAAAGGGACCTGCAGGGCAGGATAATGGCCGGTGTAGAGAAAGAGATGAAAAATGCAGTCATGATTAGCGTTCCAGAACTTGGGAGGGACCAGTATCGGTTGAGGCATCAAAATGGAACAATTCGCTTCGCTCAAGCCTCATCTACAACAAGATGAACCAGTTCACCCAAGCCGTTTTCTCTTGCGGGATCTTCCAGCCATGGGAGGCAACTTCTTTTTGGATGCCCCACTCTCTGTCTCCAGACAAAGCGAAGGATTGAGCATGAGCAAGTAGTAGAGCACGCTCAAGTCATGCCGGTTCTTGAAAAGCATATCAACCCATTCCTTGGCAGTCATTTGCGTCTGCCGCTGCAATAGATTCGCTCGGTCGGCACAACGGTTCAACCGAAGGTAAAAGTCAAGGCGTGGACAAGAAAGCCACGACGTCGCAGAGCGGAGGCTAAGGTGGTGGAGGGTATAGTTCTGCTTCATGGTGTCTGCAAACATGGAAGTGATAAGCCTCTGTTTGACATCGGCACCAGGTGAGTAGACCAGAAGATCCAGGCGTGTCAGGACCGTGTTGGTGGCAAGTGCCCAACAGATTGGTACTGTGTCCTCCATGTCCTTGAATTCCAGAATAACCTCTTCTAGGACTGGATGTACTGCAAGTACACGGGCAATGGTCGCCCCAAAACCGGGACACAATGCACACGCTGTGATTCGTAGTTCTTTCAGGGCTCCGTTGAACCTGAGGTTGTCAACAAACTGGATCCATTCGATCGGCCCTAGACACTGTGCACCTCGGACTCTGATGGATGTCAATGTCGAGGACTCATGGTCTAAAGGACACAACGCTTGGCCTGCCCAGGAAACGTCACTCAAAGCAACTGACTCCAAGCGAGGATTTGTGACGGCAGCTCTGAGAAAGGGCACCAAGTTGGCGGAACCTTGAGTGGGATGGCTATCCGTGATGTAGAGCCGCTTCATGGACTGGTGGTTCAGCATCGCAAAAGTCAAGTCGCGCATATCAGACCATTCTCCGGAAACTTGAACTCGCTTCAAGAGCAAGTCCTCGAGGCATCCACTGGAAGAGGCTAGGAGACAGCGAGCGATTGCCGCAGCAGGAAGCTTCAGTCTCTGGCGACGGTCACAAAACGGGCTGCAGAGTTCCAGCCTCATGAGATTGGAACAAGAACCAATCATTTCAAAGACATGGATGACTTCTACCTCTTTCATACGTCTAGGAGCATCGAACGACCTGGAGAAGACACGGATGGTGTCTTTTCTCTGGGGTGGTTTGTTATAGCCTTTCAAAGCGATGAGGATAGCTCTGATGCTCCCTCCCAACACCACATCAAGATAGGGCACCATGGGGTTGGTGGATGAGAAATTGCTCGTGGAAAACATTGCACAGAGCACGAAGGAGAGTTTTATTGGGGAGGATTGTGGTTTTGTGGCACGTGCAGTCGAAGGTAAAAGACAGGGGATCACGGAGGAGGTTCATCCTTCAAACTTCGGAGTCTTCGGATTTCCTCCCCAAACTCTGTTTTCCTTTTTTTCGCAACCCAGAAAAACCCAGAGATGTACAGTTACTTACAAGGAGCAAATTCTAAATGCTTTGCCTTCTTTTCTTGAGATGCCACATGCCACTGTCTTCAGTACTCTTGAGTAGCTCAGAGTACGTACTCAAGGAAGCTCTCAGGTGTACTCATCAGTATGCATTTTTGTGTTTTGTGCTATTTATTATTAATAATACCGGTACTAGTAGTACAAGTGCTCAGTTAGCTATTAATAATGCTGTGCTTTTGGAATGTGGACTGTGCTAGGTGCTAGCCACACTTATGCACCCGTGGGGGCGAATATTCTTTAAACGTGATAGAATGAAATGCTCATTGCAGATTCCTCTTTCTGAATGTTTATCGTCGTCGGCACGCGACCTCAGCGAACTGAAGCAGATCGAGTTCGATCAATGGATCTTTTTAAGCATCTGCCTCCATCTGGTGCTGGCGTCTGCACTTCGACCCGGTCAATGTGATGTCGCAAAAAGAAGAAAAGATGAGGTAAACGCTTGTGATATCCATTGAATTATATACCCTTTCCTGAAGTGTGAAGTCCCAGAGGAAATCAAGAGGAAACTCAAACGTTTGACTTTCCAGTGCCCTTTTAAGCCACCTGTTCGCATTGTCGATGCATTGGTTTTTCAATGCAGACATACAACAGAAGAAGCAGAAGAAGTAGTCTAAAGTGTGTTTGGGGAAAAGAAGCTGTACAGTACCGCGATCGGCCACGCGCAAAGACGGAGTAAAGACATTTATTTGAGATAGCTTTTGAGATCAATAAAATTTACTCGGAGCACTTTTGCAGATCCTGGATGATGGAGTAGGACTCTTGGTGCAAGTGGCAAACTTTCTCATCCCTTGAATTACAACAGGCATTATGGGATTGGAAGAGATCAAGTTTCAACACGTGTACTGGCACGAGCTATTAATATCGGGATTACCAAGAAGACCGAGAAAGAACCAGAACGCAAACAAATAATAATTCGGCAACCGGCCAAGCGCCAGCTGCTGTTGACCATCTGCTGCTCCCGGATGAAGAAGGCGAGTCTCCTCCATCGTTGGACACAGCAACCGCACCAGGTTCCAGGCAAGCAGAAGCCTTGACTGTTACCCCCCCAGCCAGCTTGCAAAAAGTGCCATCTTCCATACCGGTGTACCGTTCTCCATCCACAATACCATCACAGGAAAGATCTTCGTCCCCACGGTAGCACACACCAGTAGCCTCCTCACAAAAACATTCCACAGTCCAACCTGGCATGTTGCAACCATCGTACTTACACCCCCCCTCACAAGCGGATGTGTCTGGTTCCGAGAGTTGCCAATCCCCACAGGATTCCCAAGGTTCATTCTCTTTGCCTTGATGAGGCCCTCGTGCAATGCTTCCATCATCTATTGCTGCCAGCTGCTTTTCAACATCTTCTGCCCGAGCTTTCATGGTTGGCAGTAATGGGAAGCCACCAGCATCCCAAGAGGTTGCATCAGGGGACAGCTCATTGGCAAAGGATCCAGCACTTCCACCGAATGATGACTCTACTGCATCCTGAATTTCACTGGCATGGCTCTGGATCTGTTCCAGGAAAGTGGCGTTGGCGAAGACTGTATCCAGGAACTCCCGAACATAACCCAAGTACTCGGTACTGGCAGTGACATTCAAAAGTAGAGGTCCCACCAACACATTTTCTTCCAATGAGAGGCAGGTAGGGCGTACAAGAGACCAGTGAATCAATCGTTCTTCACAAACTTTAGTATTGCACGAAGGAGAACCAGGCTTGCTAAAGTCATAGGCCACAAGTTTCCACTTCTCTTCCTTGCTTTCTTCTTGTGCCAAGTGGTAATTGTTGACTTCAGAGAGGGGAGAGTCGATAGTTAGAGTGACAGCATAGAAAGCAAACATCTTGAGAAAGTTCTGAATGTCCACTTGCTTCGCCAGATCTGAATTGGTACAATCGGGGTCACATGGCTGGAATGACATGAAATCACGAATAAAGTTTTTGATTTCATTGTCCCAATTGTCAGAGCCCAATTCCTGGTCCACCAATCCTTCGTCTAGAAACGTGTCGGAGCAAACTTCATCATGGCGTACATATGCCAGCACAACATCCTCCATCAGTGTATTGGCTTTGTAGTCAGCAAACGCTGCTTGACACTCCTTAAACATGTCTGCACCTAGCTCTTGAATTGGCCGCACATGTGTACCACGCTCAAAGGAATAGGGAGGAGTGCTGGAATCATCCACTCGGTCCCGACCACTTTGGAGTTCCGCCTGGGAGTACTGTCCACACCCTTCTGTCAAGGGATCGATTTGGAAGAGAGCAAAGTTCTTGGGGTTGTAATTTGGGAAATTTCTGGCAAAGACGTATTCTTGCTCTGGGATTTCCATCAGCGTGTAGAATCCAATCAGTTTTTCATTGATGTAAAAGTGCACCATGCGGGTCCGAGCATGAGGCATTCCAAAGCGAGCCAACATTCGTGGATAGGCCCATTCTCGCATATAAGAGGCATCAAAGAGCGGATGCCTTAGATATATTTGTTGGACTCCAAAGAGCGTTTGTGTCTTGTTGACATCATCAAAATCCAGGCGAAACGGCAAGGGAGAACCCAAGCAACTGGCCATGAAGGTTGCTTCGTCTCCCCTTGTTCGGATCCTTCCAGGATCATCCAGAACCAACAATTCAACCCCATCTTCTGTCACTACACTGGCTGATTGAAAATCAAAGTATGTTTGGTGTTGTGGATTGCTCATGAGTAAATCAAAATCAGAATTTGCCATGGTGATTTTGAGTTCCACAATGGCATCAAATCCATCTTCCACGGGCAACCCTTGTCGATTAAAATTGAAAAACTCAATTCCTGCATCATTTTGAGCAGCCAATTGTACTTTCTGTTCCTCGATTAATTCTGCCTCTGTAGGAACTCGAGTAATAATGTTTGGCTCACCGGGTGTTGGCGTAGAAGTAAAGTTGTATTCTCCTGTGGAGGGGTCCAATGCGAATGTAATGTCTTTGATACTGCCACTCTGGGGTTCTGGAAACGGTCCCAAAACAGTAAAGGATCCATCGGGGCGCACTAGATTCAAAGAATCCTCTGCTCCAATTCCAAAGGTTGGCCCCACAAACGAGGTGAAATTGGCGTTCATGGGTGTGACAAGATTCATAGTATCACCGCCAGTGCACATTAACAGATATTCATCGGCTCCAATTTCAAAGCCATCTGGGAATTCAAAGCGCTCGGAATCAGGAGTCGTCCAACCCCTGTCATCGGCAATCATCCAACCAGTCATGAGAATTGCCTCATCACCATTGTTCCACAATTCCACCCAGTCGTCTCCATCGCAAGCATTGGAACTGCCTCTGGGTGCAACTTCACTAATCACCAACTCTCCCTGGACTGTTGTTGTTGCTGCAGACAACCAGATGGACACAAGCGCAAGGAGACGATTCATATTCGTATTCAAAGCCGTCGTAGTAGTAGTCATGGTTGCTTTTTCAACAACATACATCTGATCTAAAACGATCTAACTCTTGTCATTGCGGTGAAGCAAGAATTTGAATTGGCAGGATTGAGGTGACAGTCTTGGCGCTCGCGAACCTGTTTTGAATTTCATTCGGGTTTTGTGACGTAGCTTTCCACACCGTGGATTTTGGGCGTGGAGACCAGCGGCACTGACAAAACCAGCAAGAACGATGCTGCACATGTAGAACACACAGAGGAATCATATCTAAATAGGTAGCAAATACCAGGTAGCTAGCAACTGCATCATCACCTTCTTGCATTGACGGGATCAATATTCTTGTTGAGTGAAGCTTCTCCTTGCTCCGTCATCGCATCATCATGCTGGGTATGGGGGGTGCCATCTCGCTCGCTGGTCTTCAGAAAGATCCAATGCCCGGCACGGTCCTCATCGTTGTGTTGGATCGGCCAGGGTGGATCCATAAAACCTGCGAAGCAAAACACAAAACAAAACAAAACAAAACAAAAGCAAATCTCTCTTCCACTCCAGCTAGCTACCGGTACATCATCAATTCATCATGGGTATCCTATCCGAAGAAGCCAAAGCAATGATCGCCGAAGCGTTTGAAGCAGCCGACGCCGACAAGAGCGGTACGATTGACGCAGGCGAAATAGAGGCGGTCATGACGAATGTTGCTGAAAAAGAAGGATTTGAACCACCCAAGAAGGAGGACATTCAGAAGCGTCTGGATGCGTTGCCCACGGAGAACAAGGGTGCATTGACTTTGAAAGAGCTCATGTTCATCGTGGCAAGTATGAAGGTCATGGCGACCGTGGTGATCCTCTTTGAACAGGCCGACAAGGACGGATCCGGAGAACTGGAATCCGCCGAAATCAAGAACGTCCTCGTCAAACTGCACGAACTGGCCGGAGTGGACGCTCCAAGTGATGAAAAGCAGGAGGAAGTCGTCACGGCATTGGGCGGGAAGGTGACGTTTGAGCAATTCGCCAACTTCATGATCCCCATCATTCTGGAGGCATCTGGAGTCGAAGTGATTGTCGTCGTGGAAAGTTAGATTTCCTCTGTCCCCCCAAACGATATTGTGAGTTGTCATGGACCGGAACAGAGGATGCTGAGAAACGAATTAGGCGGATTGGATCCGACATGAACTATACTCAATAGACAAATAACCTCGAAAGATAGTAGGCTTGACACACTGCACAAGTCTCTCCAGCTGGTCCTTACTGCGTGTATGCATACTAGTACGGTGCGGAGAGAGAAGCCACAACAGAAACAATAAACTCTGACCGCGAAACAAACCTTTAAGTTAAAACAGCTCCTTTGATGGAGCGCGGCGAGAACGCAAAGGATTGGCCGACACGGTGAATCGAATCGAATCGTGCTTTAAGTATCCATTTTAGGGTGGAGGTTCTTGCTTCCGCAAATTGACACGCTGCAATCTTTCGCCTTTCCCGCTTCTTCGAGACAGACATCAAAAGGCTTCTCCCCTTTCGTCTCAAAACAACAAACAACCCAACACCAGCAACATCGAAACGAACAGCAACGAAATGACCACCACGAACGGTATCGGTCTACCTCTTTTGTCGGCTCTGTGCTATGGCGGATCAGAAGTTCTGGTCAAGGTGGGAACCACAGGACTTGCCGCCCACGAAGTACAACTGATCAAAACCATCGTGACAACCCTATGTTTCTTGGGAGTGGCATTCAATGCTTCTGGTGGGGCCATTCTGCACAGCAAGGGATTCTCATCTTCTTCCGCTTTGGTTGCTACATGTATGACTGCTGGTGTATGCGCCTTTATCGGGGGGTTGCTCAAGACTACCGCCATCAAGAACGGCGCAGCTTTGGGCACCGTGTCAGCTCTCACAGCGTTTTACCCGGCCGTCGCCTTTGTGGGATCTGTTGCATTCTTTGGCGAAGAGCTGAAACCAAACAAGGTCGTTGGTCTTGGGTTTGCCCTCTTGTCAATCTTGGCGTTTTCTTATGAGCCAAAAGCCGCTGTCAAAATACTGAAGGAGGAATAAAGAGACTTGCGAACTGCCATCTGCTGGATACCGTTAGGTTTCAACGGGGCATTTGACAGATCTTCATTTTCCCTGTGAAGTCAATGCTGGCAACAAAAGACCACGGCGCTATTATAAGCGCCATTAAGATAGATTCATTCCTTAGTTCTAGTCTTTGCTACGTATGTTTGTTTCTGTGCTCACTTCTCTTCTTCTGGACAGGTACACAGTACAGCGCCTGATCCACTCAATTTCGAGAGAAAAATGCCAAGGAGTAGGAAACGTTGAAGCACCCAAAGATCCCCAGTCTCTAGCTAGGCTTTGTCTCTACTTGTAGCTCCCAACAAAAACGTCGCACTTTCCAGAATGGGGCAAGCGTACGGAATAGAAAACGAAATTGTCATCGCAGCGTAGGCAACAGTAGTTTTTCTCCGACAAGGGTGCCATACGTATCATCGAAGCCGAGCAGTGGAAGCTGGAGAAGTTTAGGGTACCGGTACAGTGCGGCGCACGAAACTTTGGTTAGTCTTTGACGTCCTTGCTTTGTGAGCTTTGCTTTCATTCGTGCATTGTCGGAAGCAACTCAGACAACCCGACAACCCACCGGTACGGCAGTATCCCACGTCATCCACTTGCTCGGAAAGGAAAGGGTGTCAACGATGCAGTCGCCTTGGTGACTCCCAGTGAGTCATCCTTCTTGTTAGCCAGAACAAGTATTTCTCTCTGCAATCATTCATCAAGTTCAAGAGTTGGGATGAAGCTTTCGAGGCTGGTCCTAGCAGCGGCGCTGTCGGTGCCATGCGACGCTTTTGTCGGAAGAAGCCCTGTTTCGATATCCTTGGGACTTCCTGTCGAGAGGACGAAAGTATTCTCAATGGATCTCGACAAACCAACCGACGAAGTGGCGAATGATGTGGGGACTACTGCACAACAACAAGACGATGTTTCCACAACCAAGCAGGAGCCCTTCCGAAACGATGGGCTATTCTCGTTTATGCAAAATTTCTTTGTTCTACACGAGACGGGCAAATCAATGTCCTATTTCATTCCCCTTGATGCCGACACGAGCAAAACATCCACTCCCGAGCAAATTGCCCAAGAGAGGAAACTATTTTCTGAAAAGCTCATGAACATTGGCATGGATGAACGCGAGAGGCGCAGACAGGCGGGCAAAATTTTTGCAATTGTCACTGCAGTGTACGTGGTTTGGGCCGCTCTTATTGCAGATCAGGGCGACTTTCAAGGTCACGTCTTCCGCTTCATGTCTTGGCTGCCACTCTTTTTCACTGTGGGGTTAAAAGAGTCGGCCGATCAAGGATTATGAAATCTTGCCCAGACGGGACGGTGGGAGATCGACGGAGTTATCCAGGACGTCGACGACCCTAATCTCGCCAGGGCCATTCTGGACAAAGTCAACAAACTGAACCTTGACACAGGACTTCAAGCAACAGCCGCTGCGGCGGCGTTTGCAGTTCTTCCACAATCTGCAAGCGCTCCTTTGGTGTTTTTTGGTGCTATTTTTGGAGGTACGTTGCCGTATGATGATGAGATTGATTTGTCAAGGTAATGAGATTCATCTTGCTCTTTGACAACATAGCTTACTTTGCACACGCTTTCTGTTGCTAGCCTTGTACTTTTTGGAAGACAAAATTCCTGACGAGGCATAAGAGAGCCAAAACAGCCGAAAGCAATTCAGAGCCACTTTGGCTCCTCAACAATATACATGTACTGAGAGGAGAACATCTGCGCATTCTTGGAAACGGCCTCTTGCTTCATGCTGGATGACGACCATGCATATTTCGAATGTACATGAACTGACAAGCATAATCAAAAAGCCACCCCAACTGAATGCGACAACTCCTACTCTATAAGCCGCAGCCATTTACTTGGTATTTCTTTCAAAGTCTCTGACTCTTGGTAGTAGAGTTTCTTGTCGTACATTGCGTGTCCAAGACGCCGGCATGGGCCTGTCCGGAAACAGCTCATTCAGGAGGCGTGCACTCTCGTACTTGGTCCATCCTGTTCTGTAGGTTGTGCTATTGGACAAGGTGCGAATCAAGCGTTTGCTGACAAGCCCATCGTCGCAGCAATCTTTTACGACCTTGGTCAATAATTGGGTGCGAACGGCATCGTCTTCTGGCCACGTGTGTGCCAGTATGATTGCCTCCGCCACATACGCGTAGTTGTAGGGGTGCGTTTGAGTGCTCGACCGTCGCGAGAGATCGAGTGTCAGCTTGGCTAATTCCGCCACGGGAGGACTGCCATGGGCACATGCAGTGGCAGCCTTCAACACTCCCTGAAACAAGTCGGATGTTACCATCAAATCACCACCGTCCTTTTCTTCTTGGATGAGATGATCCAACCAATCCACGGCCATTGTGAGTGACCCGATCTGTCCGCTCTGCCCCTGCGGATGTGATTCGGCCGTTCTTAGCCATGCGCGAATGACACTCCCATAGATCTCGGTGGTGGGTTTTAACTGTTGCTTGGCGATGGGATCGGTCTGTTCCTTGTGACGTTGTTTCAATTCCATCAACAGTGCATCCGCCTTGTAGGAATATCCCGCTGCAGTCCACGCCATAATGGCTTCAAAGTAAGTCCTGGTGGTTGGCATTACTTTGTTGTTGTCGTTGCCACTTTGTTGTTGTTGAAAGTCCGCCCACTGCTTTTCGAGCCACCATTGCGCCTTTTCGCCCGCACGGTGATCCTTGGACTTGGCCCACGCTCGAATCACCATCTGATACGATGTCGCGTCGGGCGCCACGGTGGGACGTTCCTTGCTTAATTCCACCATGGTTCGAAAGACCTTTTCTGCCTCTAATGGCCCGTGGAATTTGTTGGTATGGAGGCCGGCCAAATTGGACCAAGCGCGGAGTAAGATATTGTAGGGATCGTTGCCGTCCACCAATGCCCCCGCCATGTCCCCTCGAGTACGAAACATGACGGCATCGAGGATCGTTTTCAACTCTCTCAACCCGTTATTATTGTCCCCATGGACTGCTGTTTCTTCTATTAAATGAGCGTCCTTTCGTTGGTACTCTTTCAAGTATCGTCTAGCTTTGATCTGTGCCACTGTAGCGAGACTCGTCAGCCACAGACAGTACGACTTGGCATTGGGTGGAATACAGAGTCGCTCTTTCTCTTCCACCGAGGTTTCCATCCGCCGCAAGAGTTCTCCGGTCCGTTCGGCCATGTCGTTTTGATTCGTCTTGGTAATGGCCCGCATGACAAAGTTGATTGTGTCCGTATTGGGACGAACCATACCGGTCCAATGATACTCTTCCACCATTCGTTCCAAGGTATCTTGGGTTGTTTCGGCCAATGTTCGACCGTGACTTCGTTTTCTTCGGTCACTCTTTTGTCCTTTGGAACACAGATCCAAGTATGCATTGTAACATTCCGTCAGGGTCTCTTGGATAATGGCAGATTGTTGCTGTTGTGAGGCAATTCTATGTGCCTGTTCCAACCACCGCTCGGCTCGTTTGACGGTCAACAGGGGATCTTCCTTGGAATTGGCCCATGCCTGAATGACCACCAAATGACACTGGAGAATAGCTTGCAGGTCGTTTCCTCCAGTAGTATTAGTTGACAAATGCGACGCAGTGGTGGCGTGTCCTTGTCGCCAGCTCTTGATGGACGGCGATTCATTATTATTAGTATTGGAATAATTATTGTCATAGTGAGACGATGGCTCCTCCTTCTTGTGCAACTGGGACAGCCAGGATTCGGCCCGACGAGCTGCCGTTCCGGCGGGTAGAGCCGTCACCAAGTCTTGCAGGGCTTGTGCAAAGGCGCCGACATTGGCATCCTCCGACGACAATAACGCTTGGAGCACCGACTCGTCAGCGTAGTGGTGACTTGACAATCCCGCCGCCAACGTGACATTGCTCGTCATGTTGAGATGATGATGATTGGAAATCACAGCAGACGAATGATGATGTTCTATTCCAGTAATAGTAGTAGACTTGTTGGTCAATGAAAGAGGAGGAGGAGTATCATAGATTGGATTTCCCAAGGAACCTCCATCGGGTGCTGTCGTGCTCATCGGCAGCATTATCGCTGATGGGCCAGCATAGCTTCCAGAATCTTTCCTGGAAGGCGCTGCCAGGCAAGATCCTCGGCCATTCCTCTGCCATGCTTGCACCACTCTGTGCAGAGGAGAGCATCTGCTGGATGCTCGGATCATCTTGTCTCTAGCTAGAGAGCTATTACGGTATGAGAACTGGTTGGATGGTGGCTATTGGCATCGGCGCTTCAAGCTTTGGATCCCCACGGTTTGTTCGTTCGATTCGATTCTTGAAGTTAAAGAGGGTTGGGGCTTTGACAGAACCTTAAGCCAGTGGAACTATTTGAGACTAAACACGGGTGGAACGTGGATCATTGAGGTTCCGCGGAACCTGGAACGTGCTTTAGCCACCATGTTGCGTCCATCCTCATCATTGGCCACCGACACAAACAAACTTCGTTTGGATTCCTTCCATTATTGCAAAATGGAATCTAAGAGATTCACTCCACTGGCATACTACTAACTTGGAAGCTGGTATCCCTACAGTACATTTTTGACTACCCTGCAATCAGATGTGTTTCATTATTCCAAGAATGTCTCTGCTGTTGCTGCTGCTTCTATCCACACTCGCCGCTGTCACCATGGCCGAGAATCGTACATTTCTTTGGTTTTCCGACATTCATTTGGATCCCTACTATGGCACGGAAACGGCCGTTCTTCGGGACAAGATGGGTTTTGGAGAAAATTGCCAATCTCCCAGTAAACTCACCACTCATCCCTTGGGGGATTTTGGCTGTGATTCCCCGCCCGAATTACTAGATTCACTCCTGCAAAGTGCTGCCACCCAAGCGAAACCCGATTTTGTCGTCATTACAGGAGATTTTGTACGACACGGCAATGATATCTTGCTGCCATCGCCCACCATTGCGACCCAAGAAATCTTGTACACGGTCAGTGAACTGATACGAACTTATTTGGACGCTCCCGTGGTACCGGCCGTGGGCAACAACGATGTGACACCCGATTATTATATGGATATTCAACAACCAGACGACATGCTGAACATGATTACACGAGGATTGATGCCTCTGTGGAGCGAGGATAACCAAGAGGGCATGGCAGCAAAGGCAATGTTTCAAGAGCAATTTCCACAAGGCGGATATTATGCCCACAATGTCACCTCCACGATTACCGTATTGTCACTCAATACCGTCTTGTATGCGACCAATCGACAACCACAATATACTGAAGTTGACGTAGATCCATTGGGACAATTCCAATGGATGAAAGAACAACTCGAAATGGCGCGGCAATCACAACGCAACGTATTCCTCATTGGTCACATTCCTCCCACCATTGGTTCCTATCGACATACCCAACTGTGGCACGAAGGATACTTGGAAACCTACTACAACATGGTCCAAAACTACTCGGATCTGGTACAGGCACAACTGTTTGGACATATTCATACCGATGAATTTCGTGTCCACAATACATTTCCACTCTTTTTGACCGCCTCCTTTACACCCATTTACGGCAGCAACCCGAGCTATCGAGTCGTCACTTACGATGACAAAACGGGGGCACTATTGGATTATCATGTCTACTATTTGGACTTGACAGCAACAAGCCTAACAAACGCCACTTCTGTTTGGCAACGGGGACCATCCTTTACGCAAGCCTACGGGGTCCCCGACATGAGTCTACAGTCACTAAAGACCATTGTGGAGGATTTGCAGAATTCTACCGACACGAGTATCTATTGGGAAGCATTCTTGTCACGGTTGCATGTCTACACTCATGGATCGGAAGTCTGTGATGCCACCTGTCGGAAGGAATGGGCATGTACACTGTCCAGTATGACGGCGCAACAATACCACGGGTGCCTCAAGGAATCATCTGGTCGATCGGGCATGGTAGCAGCGTTGATTGTCGTGGTACTGGCCGTGGGTCTTGCAATAATATGGGGGCGAAACTGTTGGAAACGGCGACACTACAGTCAGACGGTAGAGCACCACGTTGCCGAGGAAGAATTGCCACCCTTGTCGTGAGCTAAGCGAGAGGATTTCATACGAACTTACGTACATTCGTGGAATGAACGTGTACTGGCAAAAAGTCAGAGATTTGGTCTGGACTTGCTGGGACGCCTCTAGCAAGATAGCTCGGTTGGGTACTACTGAACGACATTATGTGCTAGTCACAGAGAGGGTTTATAAACGCAGTTCCCTTGCCCCAAACGCCATTCTCGACCAGGCAGGACCCGGGGAATCCCTTTCAGAGTAGCGGCCGGGGAATGGATGCGTCCTCACTTCCGATGCACCGTACCTAGCTAGTACCGGTAGGGTGATTCTTTATGTTGCTCTCTTGCACCTCCAAAGAGGCGATTCTCTCTTTACAATGGTTCTGAAGCACATGTAGCACTCCTTTAGAATTGCACTGCTCCAGCAAGGTTCCCACTTCCGCGACAACCGAGAAGCCATTTCGACTGCACCAACTCGAGCCTATCCCAACATCCCCACACTGGTGGTACGTACTCATACCGTCGACAGCTCATCGTAACGGTATTACAAGCAAGGATTACCAGCACCAGGTACCAGTACCTAGCTACCGTAGCTAGCTAGAGAACTGGCGCTTCCCTATTATTATTATTAATATTGTTATTATTTGTGCATGTTCCGCTCTGACCGCAATCTGACATGCGCACGGAACACAGAACATCAAGTTGGGGTTTAGAGCACCGGAGAGGTTCTGTGGTACGTGGTACCAGTACCGACACAGCCAGGAGGGGCCTTTTCACCGTTGGTAACCTGCATTTGTTTCGACTGCACGACTGCACCTTTAGCAGTATTTGTTTCTCACCTTTAGCAACCACCCTCCAATCTAACAATGGTGGAAGCTATGGTGGACGACTTGGAAGCTTTTGTTCATGAGGAGGAGCAACAAGAGCAAGACCAAGTCTTGCCTCCAGCCATGGCGCTGGCGCGTGGCCAATCCTACACGGTCGATGCCAACCAAGAAGAGCAGACCTGTGTTTCCTCTGTGACAGGAATGTACGACCTCTACCCACCCACTGGCAACATGTATCCAGTGTTGACACGCATGGACAGTGAAGGAGATGACGGAAAACCGGGTCTGCATTCTGTACTTTTTCCTGCCGCGGAAGAGACCGACACACATGTGACCAGCACGAGCACAGCGTTTGGCAGCAGTGTGGGAAAATCAGAGTTGGAGCAGACGGAAGCATCCATTCTTCAGGCGGCTGCAGCAGATGGAAAATTGGGTCTTCCAGCAGGCACAAGTCCTCAAATCCTGCCTGAAAAAGGAGGAAAGGGAGGTTTGGACAATAGCCGAAAAGGATTGGGGCAAACTAAAGAATCGATACTGAAGGCAAATGGAGCAGACATCGAAGAGGGCCAAAAAGCTTCAATCAACGAGCCTGCAGGGGAAAGCGCCCAGTCGGCTACTGGGAAGAGCGCTTCTGTGCCGGGAAACATAAAAGAAGGCACTCCTTTTGCAACTAACATGAACGAACAACAACTGCTTCTTGTAGTGCAGCAAAATTTTGAAAGCTACGCTGGCACAGCCAAATTAGAAGGAAACACTGGGATAGACACTGAACAAAGAATCGAAAATCCCACTAAAACTTTGGAAGACAACATAACGTCAATTGACTCCACCCAACCACTCGGCTTGCTACCAAGTCGAAACATCACACTTACCGCTCCGGGTAGAAACATCACACCTACAGCTCCGGGTGCGTTCAATGTGGGACCATTCACTCCAAATGAGGATGAGGATCAGAATCCTACCATCACAGAACCTTCTCCAGCTGCTCCACACGACAATTCAAATCAATCAGGGTTACCAGCCAGAAATAATGTTGGCACTGTGGCAGTTGCTGGCGCCGTGGCAGTTGCTAGACCTGTGGCTGAAAATGAAGCACCAACTCAGATTGCCAGGCCTGACAAAGAATTCAAAAACAAGAAAACGAGATCATCTACATTGGTTATTTCGATCCTTCTTGGCTGTCTCCTCGTGATTGGGGTGACAGTTGGTTCAATCTGTGGTGCTGGAATATGCACTGGCAGCAATGCAGATATGGAGACTCAGGCTCCCACTTCTATTCGGTTCTTTGTTCTCGCAGAAATCCAAGACAAGATAGTTAAAACTTTTGGTCGTGATTATTTTCCTACAACCAATGGAGAGGTGGAGCTGGAACCTGGGCACCCGCGTATTCAGGCTCTCAACTGGCTTGTGTTTGAGGATCCCTTGCAGCTAACCCCAGATGCAGATCATCTTCTCCAGAGATTCATCATGGCATTGACCTACCTTCAGACTTCTCAAAACACTGGCTGGCGGATATGCGAACAATCTATGACAACTGAAACCTGTTGGATGGATGTGCGGGGTCGTGGAGAAGAGTCAACCAATCGATGGCTCACTGGAGTTCATGAATGTGGGTGGGCAGGGGTATACTGTGAAGATGAAACTATGAATATGACTTCCTTGGAGCTTGGTGAGTTCTTGTTTTGTGTCGTTTGGTATCTACTTGCTTTGTCCGTGTCCTGAACATTGTTGCTTGGAAAAGAGAACGTTGGATTGAATGGCCCTTTGCCCATGGAACTAGCAAGTCTTCCAGAATTGAAAAGATTGCGCCTGGCGGGGAACGTTCTGTATGGAACCATACCCATTTCGTACAGCAGCTTTCCTTCCCTTACATCGCTTGACCTCGAACACAACAAATTATCAGGCAAAATTCCTACAGATTGGTTTGGAACCAGGCTCGAAGGAGCATTATTCACAAACAATTCTCTCACTGGAACCATACCAACAGAGGTTGGACTCTTTGATACAAAGTATTTTCGCTTTGGGTCAAACAGCCTATCAGGTTCCATCCCTACAGAATTGTTTCGACCAAGGGAAGGAAAGTCTGTTTCTTTAGCTTTTGATGACAACCTGGTATGGAATTTTTTGAGTCATTCTTGAATTTTTAACATCCAGAGCCACAGCTGTGAGCATTATGTACTCATATCTTCCTTCACTCTTCTTGTAGCTTACCGGGACTCTCCCCACTGAGATTGGTAGATTTCATGGGAGCAATGCTGTTATCTCATACTCCTTCGGAGGAAATCCGTTAACCGGGAACATCCCATCAGAGATATCCCTCTTGGGGGGTTCACTGAGAGAATTTTTGCTTGGTGGAACTGCCCTAAATGGCACTCTACCAGAGGAACTCTTTGCCAGTTGCACAGAGATCTATGGCTTTGATGTTTCAAGCTCTGATTTGACCGGCACGATCAGCACCAGTTTGGAGCAAATGACAAGACTACGATACTTTGACATCTCGAACAACAGGTTTCATGGTACGATTCCTCAACAGCTTTCTGCCCTGACTGAGCTAAGGAAATTCCATGTGAATGGCAACAATCTCTCTGGTTCCATTCCGCACTCAATTTGTGCTCTGGCCCGCCCGCAAATAGAGTCCTTTGAAGTGGCAGCTGATTGTTTGCCCACTGAAGGAGTACATGATCCTTTGGTAGAGTGCTCTTGTTGCACTTTATGTTGCGATGGAGAATCCAGAGATTATTGCCTCGAACAGTAGCAACCACTTGCCTTGCTACAAAGGCTATAAAGCTCTGATTCTACTTGCTTGCTACCATACTGAACATGCGACCAATGCCACCTACATCCATTTCGCATCAGCAATGTTACGAACAAAGTGCTTAGTCTATAGAACACCATTCACAAAGCCTACCTTCACAAAGTTATTGCTATCTAGGTCTGGCTAGCGTGAGCTGGCTGCTTAGCAGAAAGCATGTATCGGCTTCTTTCTTGCATTGGTATCTTTCTGCCCTCTGCTTCCCGGCGAGGTGGATCCACAAGCCAAGCCTAGTAGTGTCCAGCCAAACAGACCACAGAAGGAATGTTACACACCGGTCCTCCCCGAAGTACGACGGAGGCAACCTGTTCATGCCCTAGCTAGACAAAACGAGCACTATCAAGGCACTCCAGGATACACGTCAAAATGAAATGTTCTTACAAAAATTCTCTTGATCATTACTTTCTAAAAAAAAGTCGCTTGTTGTACAAATCTAGCAAATCACCTCCTCCCTTGGCTGCATGGCTACAGGAGCTACCCTCGATATATGCGAATGATATCCGTGAGGGAGGCAAAGGTGCCAATGCAGGCAAACACCAACCCAACCGCAAACAGTATATAACACTTGATTTTGGACCCCCAGTACTTTCCACCGCACCAAGCAAACGGTTCCTTTTGGATTCGTCGTGGGGTAAACGGTGATCCCAGTGAGGATGCTCCTGCTGCATCTTGTTCGTCAGTAGGTGTCGTGTTGTTTTTTGTATTACGGTGCTCTTCCAGGGTTTGTATCCAAGCCAGTTCCAAAATGGGAGGAATGAGCAGGGCCGTGGAAGATCCTGCCAATGCACCGACAAGAGAAATCAACGCCTGTACATTGGGAACTGCCACAGCAATGACATAGGTCATGACGACCAGAAATGCTCGTAGCTGTATGGAATCCCCCGGCATGACCATTTGTGGCATCAGTGCCGAAGTGACAGATCTCAAGGTTGAGTGGGAAAGGAGCGACCGGGCATCTTCTTCGTCGTCATTCTTTTCATTTCCACCCTCGTTGTTGTCACTTTCCAATCCATATTGATGTTCCGATGGCAAGGAATCCAAGTCGGCCACTTCCCCTTCGGGCAAGGGAGGTAGCGGTTCAAACCCAGTCAAATCTTCCTCATCATCATCGTCTTGCGGACCCTTACCGATTCCACCCAACCATCGGGCCAATGGTGTAGTTCCAATGAGTTCCAATGCGGGGAAGAGTTGCAGTGGATAGGAGAGTAACACGGAAAAACTGACAGCCGTGTTTGCCGCCATGAGGTAAAACGTGACAGAGGGATCCTTTCGGTAGGCCTCGAGCAAAAAGGCGGTAATGCTGCCATTGGTGACATTTCCAAATGTAACAACACAAATGGTGGCAAAGGCTGCCAAAATGGTGGCAACCACTGTCATGGTTCCAACAAAGACCTTTTGGAAGTGTTGTGGTTCTTTCATGGAAGATTCAATGGGTAGAATGAGACAGATTCCTTCATAGCTGTAGAGAATGGCACAGGCTGCCAATGGCATTTGTGGCAATTTAAGTTCAGGCAGTTCTTCGGGACGGGCATCCCATTCCTTGCCCATGATAACCCCCAGCAATGCGACGCACAATCCTAGCAAAATAGTGCCGAGCGCCATGACAGGTGCAAGACTCTTCATGCTCGGAAGAAAACTCAGAGATAAAACACAGGGAAGACACAGTGTCATGACTCCAATATGACTGTCAATAAATCCGGTCAGCTCTAGTCGGTCCAACACGGCCAGTAGATTTTCTCCAATAAAGCTGATAAAGACGGTACAGATGGCGAGTTGTTGGGTACAGACACAAATACTGACATAGGATTGGAATTTCGTTCCATAGGCCCATTCTCCCACATCAGGAAAGGTCAAGTTGGTTCGGGTTGTGGCTGAGCTAGCTGCACTGCCAGTGGTAGAATGTGGACTGCTCTTGATACTGCCAGCATCTCCTCCAGCAAGATTGAGATTGTAAGTTTGATTTCGTTCAATAAATCGCTTCAATTTGACGACAGTCCAGCAATTATAACTTGACCAAAACGCCATGACAAACACAGCAATGCTTCCATACACAACGCCTAGTTGACTCAGGGCCCAGGGGAGACTTGAAAATGGAATTTTAAAAATCATCAGTAGAAGCAACAACAAAAAATCAAAAAGGTTAGGTTGTTCCGAATTTTCCCATTCAAAATTTATCATCTTGGTCAGCCATTAAAATATTTGGTACCCTACCTGAGCATTCCAGCACCAAAGTATCCCTTTAACAAGTTGAGAAAAGCCTCTGTGGGAGTAGTACCGTGCTCCTCGTCGAAATCAGACGCGTCGCTAATGGCGTCATCATTGTCATTGGATACAACCTCCACACTATTATACCCTCCAATATTGTCACCTGGCAGCAGTGGGGTCTCATTTCCAGCGCTTGTGGCTGCGTCTTGTACCATGGTGGATACTAGCTAGCTAACTGTTGCTTTGCTTTTAATTAAAAAAGAAGAGACTCAATTCGCACGGGAGGATTGTGTGCCAGAGTTGCAAAAGGATCGACGTTGGCGGACCCGAAGTGAAGACTTCCGAGAAAAGATTCCGGGTGGTGGGAGCGGCTGCGCACAGATCCAGCTCTGGAACCACACTGGCTCCAGCCAGAAAAGGGGGCAGGAGGAAACCCACCCAAAAACTAACCAGTACAACGTAAAATTTTCACAAATCCGTGAAACTACACGTGTAGTTTCGTGAAAACGTAAAACTACTAGTTTAAGCAAACACAAAAACGTAAAACGACAAATTGAAACTACAATTTCACCATTTGTGAAAATTATCCGGACGTACTACCAACAAATTCTGACTTTCTGGTACGGTAAACAGTACCTGGTACATCATACTCAGTACTCGAGTACATCATACCGTAAGGAGGCCATTACGGCACATTGATACCAGTACTTAGAGCCCATCATCACATAAGTCATAGTCATTTCATTTTTTGGAGGCGTGCCAGTTCAAACAACGAATTCACTCACTTTTTTCTTGGCAAAACAACACGCAAGGATCCCTCACTCCTCATTGATTGCACAAGAGCAGCAAGACCACTAGCTAGTTTATTAGTAGATTCCTGGGTCTGTTTCAGAAGACAAGCATCAAACATCGCCATGACGACTAACTATGCCACCGTCGCTTCTATTCTCATGCCAGTCATGGAGATGAATCCGGTGACAGCCATTCTTGGCGTTATTGTTTCCCTCCTGGTGCTGTTTGTTCTGGCCATGACCTATGCAGTGTACACTCACAGGGCTTCGAAACATGTGGATATCAAGGCATTAAAGGCACTCAAAGTCCCCAAGGACTCTCTTTTTCGCATCTTTCAGCCTCATCTGGTACCCATGGAGGAAATCAGTGCTAGAGGATACTCTGCTGTCCTTGCCCTTGTCCAAACATGCATTGGTGTTCAACCCACTTCTGATACTGTCTTGGAGATTTGGAAACCAGCCTTTCAATGCTACAACTTGATTGTCCCCAACTTTCTCAATCTACCCAGTCTACTACTGCCTGGATATGACATTCGTGACTTGGTACCCCTGTCCATGTACGTGTCCTCGCGGGCCAACGGATGCACCTACTGTACCAGTCATTGCTGTTCCTTTGCCATGAGACGAGGAGTCGATCCGGCCACCTTGCGAAACTCCCTTGAGGCCCTTTTGAACAAGGACGCTGCCACCAATGTGACACCGGCCGAACGAGGAGTCTTCCTCGACTCCCAGCCACCGCCTCAGCTGTCCGCAATCTGGTTGGCATGGGCAGTTCGCTAGGACTATTTAGGTACGACCAAATACACCTAGAGTATGTAGTGTCGGAACGATAGTGCTAGGGTTGGGGAACAACGGTGATATCCACTGCACCAGTGCACCAATCCAAAACCGTTGGAACCCAACATTGAACTGAGAAGAGCCCATGTGCTGACGAACAGCGTGTCGCAGACACGATGCCGAAAGCCCCATGTCAACTGAGTCAGCGGACACCCGGAGTGGTATACAGTCGGACTGTAGACCACCTTTACTCTAGGTGTAAACCCACGAAAGAAAATAGGCGCGCAGAAAGATGCGAGCCAACATACTGTACGAGTGAATGGAGGCCGAAACTTTTTTAAAATTAGGCCATCGGAATGACAAAAAGTAGCCAGTTTACACTCTTGGAGGAGGAAGAGCCAGACACAAAGGGCGACCATGGCAATCAATCAGCGGCACAAAGGGCCACAACCACCACCGTTCAAAGACGGAGGCAACAGGGCCACGCCAAAAGGAATTCACGGCCTCAATCGCTGGCATAGTCAGCTCCACACCTATCAGGTACCAAGGGCTGTCACTGTGTTGTTGTCGAAATCGCGAACTCGCGACCATGGCCGTGGAGTCGGGACGCACGGCGACAACCGCTGTGGAGCACCATTTGGTGAACTCCAAGGCGAAGCAACTCCAGGGCCAGTTGGCCGAGGAGGGGAGTCGAAGCACCAGTTGGTGTCGCTCAAGATAGGAGACGAAGCACCAGTTGGTGTCGCTCAAGATGGGAGACGAAGCACCAGTTGGTGTCGCTCAAGATGCCAGTTGGCGGGGCTAGAGAAGCACCAGTTGGTGACGACTCATCATGGCAGGGGGCTAGAGAAACACCAGGCGGTGAACTCATCATAGCGGTGTGGCTAGCAGAAACACCAGGTGGTGAACGCATCAAGGCCGAAGAGAGCCAGTTGGCGATCTCTCATGGTGGGAGCACCAGTCGGTGACTCGCCGTTGGGGCTAGCGAAACACCAGGCGGTGAACGCATCATAGCAGTGGGGCTAGCAGAACACCAGGTGGTGAACGCATCATGGCCAGAGAGTTCTTTCATGTGGAAAAAGCACACGAAAGCCTCGTGTGGAAAAAGCACACGAAAAAGACCGGAGGTCGATTGTTGTTGGTCATCGGCCGAAAAGCACAACAACAAAAAAGTCCGGCCGATTGATCGAACGATCGAACCGCGGCTCCAGTCAAAGCACACGGACGATAGCTGTTGAAAAGCACAACAACGCGGACGATCGATCGTTCAACAGGGCTCCTGCAACCGGACCAACGGCCGATAGTAGCAGCGGTAGCCGTAACAGTAGTAGCCGTAGCCGTAGCTGTGACGATCGTTCAATCGAACGAAAAAAAGGGCACCATTGCTGATGACCGATCGTTCGAACGAACGAACGAACGAACGAACGAACCGCGGCTCCAGCTGCAACAGCAGTGGGAGCTAGTAGCAGCCATAGTAGCCGTAGCTAGTAGCCGTCGCTAGTAGCCGTCGGTACCTCGAAACGAAAAAAAGAAAGAAAAAAAGGACATCATTGTCCTCTTCCTTTGGTGGCTGCTCAGAACAATGAGTGGCTCCTAGCACTATCTGCAGTGGCAGCCAGTCTAATTGGAGCATGTGTGCTACCACATTGCTCCGCTTAGAGTCATGGCTACAGCAGTCATTCGGGTATCCTACGGTCTGGGCACTGTCCCAGCCTGTCTCAATAAAGAGGATGTTCAGTTGCTTCAAGAGACTCTGAAACCAGCGCAAGTGGAATGGATTGTGGCAGCTACAGCCATGATGGGATCCTTCAACAAGTACACGGATGGATTGGCCATTCCCTTGGAACCAGATACCTATGGCGAAACCATGGAACACATTGACCCAAAGTTTGTCCTCTCCAAATCTGCCACGGTTGGACTGAGGTTGGACGACCCAAAGGCAGCACTACCCTTGCCACCCAAGGACGATTGGACACTGCAATTGGCTATTATTTACCAAGGGTTGCGTCCAGGTGGCGCAGCCGCGTTGGATTCCAAACTGGCCAAGGGGGTCCCCTCTGAGGCGGAAGATTGCATTGCCTTTTTGAAGGACTTGACTGGGGCGACCTTTACTGTGCTGCAAAAGCTACAGCATGCTCGCTTACGACTGGCTCTGACGGCCATTCTCAGCAAGAACTTTGTCTCGGATGGGATTTCACTGTCAACCAAAGCATTGGCGGGGATCCAATACTGCGGTCAGTTGCAGAATGAGCAGTTAAAGTCAGAGCTGCAGCAAGTCTTGGCCAACGTGGCGGACGACAAATATTCCAAGAGCGACAACAATAAAGTGTTGCTACTGAAAGCAGCAAAGGCGTTATCGTACAATCCCAGTCGCATGACGGAGACCATTATTGATGAAATTGAAGCTTCCTCTATTACAGCCGAGAACATGGTCGAGTTGGTTTCCTTTCTAGCTACCCTTCAAGCCTTGCATAGGTTTGAAATTTACTTTCAAGTGGCAGAGGAGAACTAAAGCTGAACTAAATACAGTAGTGCAGAATGTGGAGGCGAAGGGAAGAGCTTGGCTCGGCTGTGAATTGTTGCCTTAGTACGCTCACCACTACAGCTAGCTAGCTATACGGCAGTTCCAACTAGTCTAAAAGAACTGAACTTTTTGATACTGATGATTCGATTCTATAACAATGTTACTGCAAACATGCACTTTATGCTACGATTCAAAACTAAGTTTCTATTTGCTACAAACATGCACTTTTGTCGTCTTGACGAACATGATCAATCAACAACACTCTGTCACCGCAGGACAAGCTACGTACGGCACCGGTATGCATACCGGTACCGCAATAGCAAGCTCGAGACTGTTTCGCAAAACACAACTGAATTCAACTGAGAGATTTCCTGAAACTATGGTCGTTCCACCCAAGGCCCCACACCTGGACTTACCTGTACCGCTACACCCAGGCCCACACTAACTCCCGAATTGCTCCGAACAGAGTCTCCGAACTGGGCAACACCGATCTGGGCTGGAACACGCCTGCGGCTTATCCGATTGCTCTGGTGGAGGGAGTCCAAAGCAACTTTGAGGTTCTGGCGCCTCCAAAATGGGGGTGATACTGGTTCCAGAGATGGAGTGAAAGTGGAACTTGTTACCATCTCCGTGCAATAGTGGGCCTGTGAGGTCCCTTCTGCACCAATTCCGGCACATGAAAACAGCCAACCGTACTCTACTAGCTACCGGCGCTAGGCTTCAGAGAAGAAACACGCACGAGCTATGCAAAATTAATTAACCTAAACTATCCCGGGGAAGCAGCCTCAACCCCTCCTCAATCTAACTAACACCGTTCCATCTGAATCGCTTGAATGGGACGGCCAGAATCCGTGTTGCAACACTTGTCTTCCACATGGACAAAGGTAGCCCTCTGGGTTTCATCAATATCATGCCTATCCTGGAACTCATTCAAGGCTCCCTTCCAATTGGCGAGGAAATTTTCTCCGTTCTTGATGGGCACAAAAAACAAGGGACAGGCAAAGCACTGATAGCAAAAGGGGCCACAGCACAGACACGAACGCAGTTGGAAACAATCGCACTGCGAGTGCACGATTTGTTCCCCATAACAGGGACGCATATCGACGAGACCGCAGCATGCCTTGGGGACCTTGTTGTAAATGACGGGTGGACCACAGCACACGCATGGGATCAAACTGCAGTACATGCCGACCCGATTGGGTGCCTTGTCAAAAAAGAGAATCCGGGGCGCATCGACAATGCAGCGTTCATCCGATAAACAACACCAGGGATTGAAGGGAATGTTGGATTCCACGCGATTCTCATAGACACGCACGTACGTGCGCTTGCGGAGTTTGTCATTGACACAAAACTTGTAACAGACACAAGAGCAAGGCGCAAACTCTTCAAACTCGGCCTCGGCAATGAGCTGTGGCCCCGCGGCGGGGGACAAGTAACGGGAAGTACCGTAGATGCCGCCATTCATATTGACCGTGTCGTCATATCCTGCGGTAGTGGTGGTGCAAATGGTCATGTCCGTGGCCATGTTCTTGGGTGGCCTTTGCTGCTGTCGTTTGACTATTAGAGCCGTCTCTGGAACTGGAACGACTGGTGCGTTTGTGGAGAGCATGGGCTTCTTCTCGTCATCAACGTCCTCCTCTTCTTCAATCTCCACCGTTGGCGGAAACGGGACAACGGCGAGCTCGGGTTCTTTGGAGGATCGATCGACAGACTTCGTCATGACGTAGGTTTCCATGTAGGGCGACTCAGACTCCTCCTCCTCTTCGACTGGAGCCGCCATGGCTACAATCAGCGAATGACGTTCAATGGGAGGAGCCAATCGCTTTACGAGATCCTCTTTGAATGCCTCCAGTTCGTCGCGATTCGACAGTTTAAACAAGAGATCCTGCGCTTGTCCTAACTTTTCCACCGTCTTGATCTTGATCAGAGGCTTGGTCTTGTTGGCAAAGTGCTTGTGGATACTGTTCCAGCGAACGCGGTGGACCAGCGGAGGGCGAGAAATACCGTCATCGTCTTGATCGTCCGTCGACGTAAAGGACAGACCAGACTTGCCCAGAGTCAAGTCACCCGTGCGCTGTTGAAAGACAACGCGTCCGTAGACCACCTTGGTCTTGCGCTTGGTTTCGTAAGAGGGCGGTGCGGTCGTCATGGTCGAATGGATGCAGCAAAAGTCAAAGCAGAAGGAATGGAAAGGAAGAGCAACCAAAAGATTTGAGGCAAGAAGGAGCTGAAGACGTGAAGTGAGAAGAGGCCAACTTTTCTCTCACCACTCACCACTCACCACGCATCACGATTGAGCTTCCTTCTTGGGAGTTCCCAAGGAAGCCAAAGATCTTATGCAAATAAATGTCTTTCTGTGACCATTTGGGAAACTGTGGGCACTGTGGGTTAAAAACCGGATTTGGAACAGTCATTCGTGACTGTGCCTTCTTAAGCAGATCCCAGATGCCGAGATGACCGCAGTACTACGGTACGCGGTACCGGTACATGCATGTACCGTACCACTACATCGTGGTACAGCACATGTACATACGGTAAAAATTAATTAGACCAAGCAAATAATGATTTCACTCATACATTATTGATTTACCGTACTGGTATCAGTGGAATCCGTACGGTATCATTTAACTTGAGGCCAGGTCCTGGCTGGTGCTACAGCGTGTACTAGGAAGCAGCCTCTATGAGGTGTCCGCTTGCAAATAGCAGATTGCGAAGATAGCAAACGACACGCCCTTTAAATCTCCGTAGGCCGGTCGTTAAGAAAACTAGCCAAGAAACGACCACTACGTGTTAAGTAAAAATGGTCATTATCCGAACAAGATACTAATGTTTATATACGTGGCGAATAAATCGTATGTTCGTTATCTTTGTCTCCAGCACGAATAATTTTTATCTTCCGTCACGCCTCGAAACTAGCCTGCACCCTATCCTGACCAGTTTGTTCGAACGAAAAGCGCACAACACAACCAACCAACCAACCAATAACCACCACAAGCTGCGAAGAAGATGGCGAAAGGACGGCCGCTACACATCGATTGGGAGGGTGGGGCATGGCAATGGCTCTTGTATTGTCAGTTGAGGCTCATCCTAAAAGAGGGGAAGTGAAATGGAAGAGTCAGGCGAAAAAACGAGCAACAACAATGACATGGACGATGGACACGAATATTGGACGCACACCCATTCTTGCGATTCGATGAAGTTGTCTTCGTCCGAGCTGTCTTCTTTCTTGGTTACTTGCTTCCTGGTGAAACGGGTGCGTCTGCGCCTGGGAACTTCCTTGGGAGCGGGCTTTCTGTCGTCGAAGGTGCTGTCAGAATCGAAATCAGAGGGGATGAATTCAGAAGGCAATGGAGCGAGGACGTCTTGGTCGTTGAGATGAGACAAATGGGAGGCGGTAGAGTCGCTGTCGCTTTGATTGTGCGGAGGAGAATCCACCTTCAGATCCTCCAAGCTGGCGGCCACTTGGTTGACTGAGCCGTCTGGAAAAGAAAGAGTCATGACGTTTCCTGTCATCGTCACCTCCACACCAATCTTTTGAAGTGCAGCCTTGACTTGTTCTGCGGTATCGGCTGTAAGCCAGCTTGAGATAAGGACTTTGCTGCTCATGATTTCAATCGATGGAGGAGAAAATGAGATGTTAATGAGGTTTGTCTCTCCTCTTGTCTCTTCTCCGAATCGGAGTTTGGCGGCAAGCTCGGATTTTCATTGGAAGGCGCGAAGATTTGAATCCATTCAAAGCTTGCTCCATCTCCAAGCAAGAAAGGCTCATTCTTTCAGTCTCGCAGTTTAGCAATGACTTCTTGGCGAGTTCTTTCGACTATTAGTGGCGCAGAAGACAGTAATCTCTCGGCGAGTGCAAGAGCATCAATCACGTTGGAGGGAGTGCTAGATGGAAAAGAAAAAACGAGTGTGCTCAAGGGCAATCTGGACTTGCTTGTATTGGAAGAAGATACAAACGGAAAGGAGTTCTTGCTTCGTTGCTTATGCGTCATCAAGGATGATGTAAACCACAACCCTCCTCTCTCGTGGGATGTTCCTTTGCCGGAGGGCAAATGGCGGGTCAGTCAAGCTGCCGTTCGACACAGTCGCAATGGAAACCATTCGGCTCTTACTTTCAACATCCAATTTCATGGTCCTCTCCAACGGATCAAGTTTCTTCTTCCAATCATAGATGGCAATGATACTCAGCAGCAGCTCTTTTTCAGTGGTGTACAGTACGCGAACATGATGCACGGCGTTCAGAGTTAACTGCCTGCTTGGAAATGGTTTCGATCTAATCTTGACGGTGCTGCGCTATTTTATTGGATTAATGATGCCAGGGTAGCTAGGTATAGGCCATAATGTGATATAGGTTGTTAGTTGTGATTATGCCAACGTTTACTCGTCCTCTCCAACACTCTCGTCGTCGTATTCGTCGTCTTCTTTGTCGTCTCCTTGTGCGTACTCTTGGGTCTCATTGAGGAAGTCTTCACCCTCACGTCGCTTGGCTAAGAGGGGGGCAAGCTCTCTTTCTTTGTTGCGTATTGACCTATCCAGCTCTTCTACTTTGGTCTCTACTGTTGCTTTTGTCAAAGAGAGCCGTTTCAGGGCGGTCGACCAAGCTTCCGCATTTGGCTTAACACCAACCTCGAGTTTGACTTCGAACAGCTTGACTAGAGCCATGCGTCTCCATCCCTTAACAGCCTCAACCTTCCAAAATGAGTCAGGGAGATCTTGCATCAATGTGCAAGCCTTCACATGCAATGCTTTCATCCTCTCAAGCTCATCGATAACACCCTTTTCTTCTTTTCTAACCGCTTTGAGTTCATCTTCCTTGATATTCCGTTGAATTAATATGCCGGCAATGATACCGGATCTTCCAAGGTGAGTTGACAGTCCTATCTTTCCTCGTTTCCTTCGTTTGATGGCACCAGGGTCTTTGGCTTGCTTCTGAATCATGACCTTCATCAGAATGGTCTCCATCGTGTAGTTCACTGCGGTTACATCTGTACCAACTCGTGTCATGGTGATTGGCTTTGTTACGTCGCCTCTCGTCACAGAAATGACATCGGTGAAAGGATCTAACACAACCGATTCATACTCTTGGTACAGTTCTTCCGGTTGCACTCCTTCGTCCTCCAAAAGAGTAGCTAATCGGCTCGCGAATCGTGGCCTCTTCACGTGCAGACATTTCGCAATTGCCTCCACATTCCTCTTCAGTCGTCGGGAGTCGGCCACCTCTTGAGCCTCTTCGTACATCGATTCATTCAGTTTCTTCCTTGCAATTCGATCCTTTTTTTGTTGCTTTCGCTTATCCTTCTTCGTGAGAGTGTATTGCTCATCATCGGCTGCATCAACGCAGGTTTCTAAGATCTGTTTGACGCTCCTTATTTCCATGTTATTGCTCTCGGTTCTTTCATTATCAAACACACAAAATCGTTCGGCGGATTGCTTTGTCAAATTCAACACTCTGTTAGACTCTTTCTCTCGAAGAACAATTGCATGGCCGAATATCACCAAAGAAAGCTTGGTACGGAGTTTGTCACGAGCAACCTGTTCCGGCGTTAACGTGCAAGTAGTGTCAACGTGGTTGCTGCTTGTTACGGCTTCGAAGGTGACCAGCTTCAGGGCAGCTGCTTCATAATCTTCGGTTGCGATTGGTGGGCTTGATAAGTCTCGATCATCATCAAGCGTGTACTTTCCGAGCAAGTAGTCCCCGATTGCGACTGCTAGGAAAAGGAGTGGCACTTCCAGAGGTAAATCGTCATCACTGCCGTCTGTGCCAGCAAGAAAGTCCTCGGTCGGCAAGAACGATCGGATAAGCCTCTCGTCTTCATCAGTCAAAGCCTCTCGTTGGTCCACTGCTCTTGGCTTTGTCACCCAAATAATCTCTGGGAGCCTTTCTCCGGAATCCCTCTTTTGCTGTTTGATCATCTCATTCAGCTTGTTAAAGTTGTGGTAAGCCATTGTCCATCCCTCATTGTTGTAATCCATTGGATAGAGGCCGGTTTTTCGAAAGCTGCTAGCCACACCGTTTGTGCCGGTCCTCCGTAGCTCATTATTTTGATCAGTGCAATTCCTTTCCAACCCACGCCTGAAGATTCTGTTTGCTTCACTGTAAGTCAATGTCCCACCCACTAGAATTCCAAGCTCATGAGCGACCTGTGCAATATCCTTTGCTGTGAGCTCATTTTTGCCATTGTCGCATGGTTGAGACCAAATACTTGTTTTGGAGGGAAGGACAAACAACAGAATGTTGAATCGTAGCAGAGACGTGATCAGTGACAATGGGCACTCGCGAGAGCAATGCCAATCCAAGAAGAGAACAACTCCAAGGCCTCCTGGCCCTTGGTCGTGAGGCAACTGCTGCTTGAAATGCAACAAGAAATCATAAAATGTGCGCTTCAGCATACTGCCGCTTGGTGTTGCCCTCACTTGAAAACCAAAGGGGTTAACAAGCTCTTCTCTCTTTCCAAGCTGGTAGCCATCGTACCAACTCTCCAACACCGATGGGTTCAGCTTAATTGTCGTGTCCTCTTCACGCTGATTTGCTAACAGCTTGTCTCTATCGGCTTTTTCCATCGTGTCGAGTTCTGTTGCACTGGACGCATCGGAAATAATGATATATGGAGCTGGAGCACCGTCGACTGACTCAAACGGTTGGTGCTGGGCGCCATCTGCCCTCACAATGTTGGCAACTGTATAATGGAATGCCATCTTGTTATCTCCTTCCCTTGTGTTCTGGAAGAGACGGGAGCGACCAACAAGCATGTCTCTGGGGATCAGTACTGGATTTCGAAGATGTGTTGGATTGGGCCCCTGTTCATCCGTATTGTAGATGCGAGTAGGTGGAATGTTCGCATATCGATCCTCTGGCCAAGCAATTGGGTCTATCTCGTGTGCCATTTTGATCAGCGCGTCCAGTTGGTGATACATTGCATTGAGTGTTCGTGGATCTGCTTGCGAGGCTCTCTTGGGATCGATGGAATTCACGTTGGTCTTTGCTTTGATTTGTGCTGCTTTGTAGATTCGTTCAATAGTGTCATTGCTAAGGTGAACATCGATTCCCTCGGCAGCAAGGTACGAGTCGGCATATCGCTTTAAATCTGCCTTTTCAAGTGGAAACCCCGACTTCGCAAAGCCGCTTACTAGTTCAGCGAATAGTGCCTCCTCTACTTTGTCGAAAAAGGAGCTTGAACTTGGCTGGAGATCTCGAGCCCGACGGGGAGCATCGTTGCTACTGTTGTTGCGTGTGCTTGGTTGCTCGGTACAAGGAAACCTTTGCTCCAGCTTTTCTTTGAAGTTGCTATCAAGAGGAGAGACTCCATTGGTAAGATCAATTTCCAGTTCGAGCTCCTTCCAAATGTCAGCAATGCGTCGATAGGCACTCTTAGCTTTCAGCACTTTCACACAGTAGGAGTGCACAGACTCTTTCTGACCGGAGACTCGAGCACTGGATAGGAAACCATAGATATTTTGAATCAAATCTTTCCATTGAGTATGGTCCCTCATTTCATTTTTGGCAGATCTATTACGGTTGTTTGTCTCAGATTCTTGGGAGTCTTCATCTTGAATTTCAATGTGATCGGTCGAGCACGGAAAGCGAGAGTTGATTTTGTTGATCAACATCGGATCTGTTGGGGGCACTCTTTTCGACAAGCATTCTTCAAGCTGAAGTTCTTTCCAGACCTGTGACAGCCGCTTGTATTGAGAGAAGCGATCAATCTCAACACAAAAGCCCCGAAGGGTCATCTTCGGTTTATTCTCGTCGGAACGAGACTTGTAAAGCTGGTCGTAAATCGAAAGCAGATCATTCCTCCACTCTGCTTCAGTCCTTGTTGTTCTGGAAAAAGAAGAGCGTTTTTTCTGCTGATGCTGTGGTTGCTGCTGCTGCTGCTGTTGTGAATTTTGCTGTGCATCTTGCTGTGAATTTTGCTGAGGCAGACGAAGTTGTTGGAGTGGTTGACGGCGACGGACACGTTCTTCTCGAGCTGTTTGTTGGCTCAATGCCAACGCGATTGCCAAATCATTTTGATCCTGGTACGCCATGTTGGTTTGACATTGTGAATGAACTCTCTTCCATCATCGATCCATCATCAGCATTCAAAACATCTATCCGTTTTTCCAGTTTTTGTGAGTAGGAACCCCGATTCGGAAAATTGGAAAGCGCCATCGTCGAAAAGGGGAGAGCACGTTGTTGTCTATTCAGATCCAAAGAGCCGACAGTCTGAAACAACGACGCCACCGTTGCCGATAGCATCGTCTTGATGGTGTTGGTGTGGAGAGAGCAATGCATTGGTGTAGTGGGTGGAACAGAGCCATCGGCTTGTTAGTCACGATCTTGATTGATAAAATGATTCCGACAGGAGAGAGGTCGCCTGGACGCTTGGCGCGCTTTTGCCTAAGTAAATAACATGTGAGCGTTAAACTTAAGTTGACTGTGTAGTCACGATTTTTCATCGATGTCATCTATAAATGAATCTAGTTAGAGGCCTCGAAGTTTTTAAATAGAGATCAGACGTCTTGTTCATGTGTCTTGTTCAGCATATGCTATCACCCAAGCGGACACCCCATACTGGTAGCTAGTAGCCAGCTCGCATTTCTGAACGGGGGTCTAGGTAGTAGATAGAGTACCGTAGGGAAGTTCTTGGTCACACCCCTGCAGCCAGCTAGCTAGCAGATGACGCCATTCTCCGGCTTTGCAGGTGGTACGCTTCTTCAACTCTGGAGTCCGACACCAGCCAAAGGCAGGAGGCTTTGCCTTTTTTGCGTTATCTTTTGTATTGGCTCGGCGTGCTGGTTTGCTTTGAAACTCCACGCACCCTCCTTTCGTACAGGAAGAAGTTTGGTCTCTGGATTTCAAAGGGGTTGGCCAAGATCACACGCTCCAGCCAAAATCGACCTGCTGCACATTGTCCAGTTGGTTGATGGTAGTATTTCTCATGAGGAAATCCACGATGAAGGTCGTGTAGCAAAGCGACATCATTTTCAATCGTACATGAGATGCTGTGTAGTTGGAGTTTGTTGCAAAGACAAAGTTGGCATCAAACGTCAGGTCAATGTGCGGAGAGCCAAGCCGCGAATACCTCAGATCAACGATAGTGGTAGAGTAGCTCGTAAAACTGGCGGCAAAAGAAGGTTCTTCCTGAAACGATGCGGTGTAGAACTCGTCCAAGAGTTCAGAAAGCTCTGTCAGCTCATCTCCGGTCAGCGGGCGAATGATATCGGTGGACCAAGAAGAAAAGTACGTCAGGGCCATGGAACAAGGAACTGTAAGGCCTTTTGCCGCCCCCTCTATTGTTGGTGTACCCGCCGGAGCTTCGCTGGAGGGATCAATGTCCAAAGACCTAACGCCATATCCCAGATACGAGGCTTCGTCCAACGGACTCAATGCGGCGTCGCGAAACATCTCCTGAGTGATGCCTGTCTCCTTCATTGATTCTTGGACTTGTGCAAGGAAATGATACGACCAAGGGGCAAACACAAAATTCGCATCAAACGCCATTTCAAGCACCCCAAGTAGGGATGTTGGTGGACCGAATTCGGCGTACTGGTGCCACAGGATCTCAGAAGAAAAACTTAGAAAGTTGTCTGCATGGTTGAGTTCTGTCTGGAAGTAGTTCGTGTAGAACTCATCCAGGACACGTTCGACTGCACCTTCATCATAGGTCAGCGGGCCGTCCACCTCCAAAGAGACATTTCCCGCAAGAAAATGCAGATACAGAAAGGAAGGAACCGTTATGTTATTCGTTTCTCCCGCTCTTGTTGGCGCGAGCGACGGAGTGGGGAGGAGAAGTGTTTTGGAAACCTGCTCAACAGCGTCCAATTGATTCACTGGAGGGCGATGCAAATAGTTTGACACAAAGACTGTGTAGTTCAAATCAGCCATGATCCGTTGTAGAAGACTTGGACTGATATCCTCAGTTCCAGAGGCATTATACATAAAGTTGCCTTCCAGGTACAGCCCCAACCTTGAAAATTGGTTCAGGTACTGGAAGCCAGAGATGGTTGTCAAATAGTTCTGGAAGCCACCAGGCTGAGAATCTTCCGCCTGGAACATGTCAGTGTAAAACTGATCGATACGGGACACGAGCTCGGACATCTCTTTGTCCGTGAGGTAATTACTAACCCCATTCCTGGTGAGTGCTGCCTTTTTGAAATCCAAGACCAACTGGAAGTAAACAGTAATGTATTCGTCTGACAGCGACTGGGGAACCCAAATAGTGGGGGGAACGACAGTCGGGTTCATGGTTGGTGCTGTTGTTGTCGAGGGTACGGCTGTGGGCGAAGCTGTAGGCGTATTTCCAGTGCGCATGACCAATAACATGATGACGACCACGACAGTCACTGAAAGGCAAAGTAATCCAAAAATGAAGCATTGCAGCTTTCTGTTGCTCAAATGATCTCCCAGCTCGGCTTGATGGGCTTCCGCTACGATCACGTCGATTGGCTGCAGTTCCTGATCGTCCTTGAAAACTTCTGAGGGAACCAGAGTAGCTTCTACAAGCTTGACTCCTTTATCATCATCATCATCATCTTGATCACCTACCGATACCGGTACAGGCACATTTGGAGATTGTTGATACGGCGACAAGAGGGCAACTTGGTGCTCAGAGCCCGAGTCAGAATAATCTTCATTTGGAGCAGACACTGCACCCGGAAGAACCTCCTCCTTTTCTTCTTCGTGCACTGCGGCGGGAGAATAGGCTTGAGACGACAAACTATTCGAGTTTGGTTCCTCCGAAGAAACAAGACCATCTGGAGCATCACGGGACTTTCCTTTCTTTCGCCTATTCAGGCCGCGATTTGGCGGTAGGCCTGGCCTTGGAACAGGTGAAGCATCTCTTCCTGAAGAACTTCCTTTGCCACCCTTTGCTCGTCGTTTTGCTCTTCTATCCCTTCGATCCAGCCCTGCCGTCAAAGTCCGAGCAGCATCGGACACATCTTCCGCTCCGGGTCTCGAAGCACTTCTTTCATTGAGGAACCCCGGTTCAGAAGCCGATCCTAGAGGACGATCTTCATCATCAGCATTCGAGCTCGGCCGTGTCATCCTCGACTCGTCACTGTGCTGCTTTGCGTTGCTCATCTTCATGTCCGCCCAGCTATTACATGTAATAGAAGGCTCTTCATGCTGGCTTGGCCTTTGGGTTTGGCTGTGGCTGTGCGGTTTGGTTGTTGTTGTCGTCTTCGCGTGGAGCAAATGAGCGACAATAAGCATGTACAGGAAGCTTCGATTTTATTGATTCAAACGCGCGCCACACTTCTCAGTACATTTCTACACCAGCTCTCGTAGAAATGTACCAGAAAAGCCGGCACGCGTTTGAATCAATAAATTCGAAGCTGCTCGTAATAGAATTCTGTTTTTATTAAAAAGGCTACTCTGAGCACAACTGTCAACGGTGCCGGTACCCTAAACCGATAACTCCACAAACATTGGGGGGGAGAGAGTTGGTCCCCTCAGCCGGGAAAGTTTGAAACCCACACGAGGCAATAAGCAGCATCAGCCGTGTGTACTACAATAGTACGCTGCAAAGACTCGACTTGACCCGGGACCCGATTGGACCTGACCTCAAGCAGGTCTCGAAGCGCAGGTCGCAGTCACAGTCGGGGAATCTTTTAATCAGGCAAGATCTTATCATCTATTCAGGAACTTCGATTGTGTGAGAGAGCAAGAGTGCACACAAAACAAAGACCCGGATCAGCAAAACAACAAACGCCCAACAGCAAGCCCGCAGCACAGCCCTCAGAAGCAACCACCAAGACACAACAACAGCACAACAACCAAGATGTCCATAGCAGAATCCCTCATTGATTTCTCTGCCCGCCGCTTCAGCGGGGAAATCTGCCTCAAACCACAAGTGGGAGACGACCTCAGCAAAGTCTACGGCCGCGCTGCCATCAACACAATCTGGAAGAAGTGGGCCACAGCACGCATTGCACAAAAGAAACCCCATGTCGGCATCGTGGTTGGATACACTGAGGATTCCCTGAACAGCATTGACAGCACCGAACATGAGTTCTTCGAAGATCCAGTTGTGAGGGTCAATGGAGAGCTCAATTCTTCTAATGAAGATTTGAGTGACGAGGAGGCGATTGAGACATTGAAGTCTCTGTTCTGCACTCTGGCAAAGGCCCTCAAGCAGACCCAGGCCGAATTCAAGTTCTATGGAGGCGATGATTGGTACTCATGCCAATACAACATCTCCCACTCCAAGAGGGGATGAGCGATGACGTCAGAGCAAAAAGGGCCCCACACTAAGATACATGGGACAACATGGGAAGAGTGCCGACCTGCAGCCACAACTCATGGCTTCAGTATAGAATTAGAACAAATAGAACAAGGTAGTATACATCCCAAACAACGAAGAATCAAACTTTTCGCCGCCTTACCAGAAGGAGACAGGGATGGAAACATCAGAAAACCTGCATCTTATAGTTGCCTAGAGGGTCACTTGGTGACTGGCTGAGCAGTCCTCCTCGAAGTTCTGCCTCCATCAGCAGCCAACGCTGGTACTTTTTCTATGGCACGGGCTGTGCAAAGACATTGGCTTTGATTTGAATGTCCTGTTGCGCCTGTCTTGGCACCAAGCATCTTTTGGTCCCCTTGTCTGCAACAGTCGTTCAATTTGTAGGACAATACGGATTGTCAGTTCGTCAGTGTTTTACATGATACCGGTACCATCGAAAGGCTTGTAGGACCTCACTTCTACGACAGTGGCAACCAAGCAGAAACAAAGCAATAAAAGTTTGAATAGTTTGGTTTCTAGTTTAGAAATCAGTACCACAGCTATCATCGCAACTCTCGGTGCATCGAGTAGCATCCCCTGCCGAAGGTCTAGGTCCTAGGCATTGTTGGAAGCACAGGAAGAAACAGAGGACACCTTGATAGTCATCAAGTTGAGAGTCATCAAGGAGCTTGCGTTCTTGATGGAGACCAGCCATGCTTCCAATGACTTGCGCCTTTTGAATGTCGTTGCCCTTTTCTTCATGGGATCGAAGGTTGCCAGCTTCGTTGCGAACATTGAAAGCAGGACAATAAGGAGGAAAGGAAGGATTGAAGAAAGAATTTTGGCCATTTTGTTGATTGTAGGTGTTGTAATGAAACAGTTGGCTTCAATGGGCTTGAAGTGTAGCTTTGTTTGACTTTAGTGTTGATACATGTGCCTTTTGCAGAGTGGAGTTTGTGAGAAGAGTTGCAGGACGCAAAGCTTCAGTCACACTTCTTTTCTCCAGCGACCAAACCAAATGTAGAAAGACTTACGGTAATGATTGATTCGAGTCTGCTTGGGCACACAGCAACCCACACAGCCACTGCTTGCGCCCTTTGTTGGATTCCTCGCCCGAGAGGTTTGCCACTGTCTAGCTCACGGTTCCCAAGCCTCTTTAATAAAACTCGCTCTCCAACAGATCAAGTGCGGAACATTGTGTAATTGCGTTGGTCATTCATATGTTTATGTTTTGACAAGAGCTACAGGCTGTCCGAGAACTTTTTAATGTTTTGTGGCCAATTTGAAACCCCATCAATTCGGTCCTCTGATGCTGATTGAATCATTCGATTCGATTCGCAAGATGAACTCGAGATATTGAAAGCATGAATCCAGTCTTGTTACAACTCTTCCTTGCTACCACCACTGGCTTCCTCGTCATCATCACTAGATCCCATGATATCATCCAAACTGAATTCTTCTTCGGGTGGTGCCGCATCCTGTCCATCCCATGGTTCTGTCGTTTCAATCTTGGGCACCTTTTCCTTGGCCAACTTGGCGACGGGTACTCGTCCCGACGTGACCCCATGCAGAAAGGAGGAAATGCTCTTTTCCCCAAAACTGCCACGCATCACCGCAAACGCATGTCGATCCATGCTGTACGCCACCATGGCGGGGAATCCAAAGGTCATTTCCAAAGAAGTCTCCAATTCGGGTTGATCCCCTCCTTGGAACCACAAAAAGGAGTAGGCTCCACCGCGAAACTTTTTCTGCACATTGGCAATCAAATCTCGGTAATTGTTCCGACCGGCCGCTCCCGAATCGAGAATGTGCGGCAGCGCGGCCAATACGCAAATGTGATTGGTGCCCTTGCATTCGGTCTGGAGGACGTGGCTACTCACCAATTCGGGAATTTCCTTGGGGACACCCGACTTGTCCACTTCCGCCAAGATGTACTTGACCATTTCCGGTGCCTTGCGTTCTCCTTGATATTGTCGTGCGGCACCGACGGATTTGGGGGCTCCTCCGGGAAAGACCAACACGGTCGGGAATCCCTGTACTTGGAATTGATTCGCTAAATCTTTATTGGCGTCATCCGTGGCATCGACCCAGACCAATTGGGCTCCTTCTCCGTCCACTTTGGCGGCGGCCTCGTCGTATTCGGGTTTTAACATTTTGCAGTGTCCGCACCTGTGACACAAAAATTAAATAGTGAGATTGAGGAGACAAACAATAATCCAAGGCCACTCCAAGCTGCAGTATAACGCAAAACGGTGACTTTTTGTCGGATGAAAAATCTGTTGAATGAATACGGTACCTACCAAGGTGCTGCAAATGCCACCATTGTGACGAGTGGATTGTTCATGACTTTTTCTTCCCACTCGGCTTCCCCCGTGATGGTCACAGTCTTCTTCTCCTTACTCTCCTTCTTGCTGCCGCCCTTTGGTTTCTTGGTAGTATCTTTATCGGGTCCCATCTGCATGGCAATCCCCAAGGCACGCGCTCGCTCCGTGATAGTGGTGGCCATGGTGCTCATGACATGCCCTACCATGGTTTCCATATCTTGCAGCGAATCAATCTTGCTGGGTTTGCTCTTGTCATCCAAAAACCAATAAAACAGGGGTTGGCGGTTGGTGGAAATTTGATACTGTTCCACAATTTCTCGACCTCCCGGAGATTCCAAATCGACCACACCCATGTAGATCAGGCTCCGATACATGTTGCCCATGACTTCGTAGTTGGGAACCATTTTTTGACAATTTTCATCGTTGGCACTGCAAAATTGAATCATCCACAAATTGGGACTGGCCACCACCGTCTCTTGAAAGTGTTGCAGATTTTCCAACACGGTCACATGCTCCTTGTCGTCGTACCAAGATGATGATGCCGATACTGCAACAGTGATGATAATGCCAAGGATGGCAATGAGAAGGAGTGGTTGCTTGGATAACATCATCATGGTGGTCCAGTAGTGGTGATCTTTCTTCGATTTGTGTCGGATGTTTTCTTTGACACTTCAGGGTCGAGAGCAAAAGACCAACGGCCAAAAAGAGGCTTCGCGAAATCTTTTGGATCTTTTACGGGTTCCACGACTGTGACTCCACACCGTGGACTCCCAAGATCGTGGGAATTATGAATAGGAGCAACGGACAACACAAAAGTGAGTGAAGAAAGACAATAATGGCGAAAGAAGATGTGTTGAATGTGCCTTCACGATCCAACAAGACAGGAAGCAAGCTCTTCACATATTCCGTTTTGAAGGTTCCTTTACATGTATTCGATGATGAGAATCTCGTTCCTCGTCGTTGTTGTTTGCGTCCTTGCGGTGGACGGAAGATCCTTCGCTCGAGAAGAAGAAACCTACAACAATCACCACCGCCATCTCCGTCGAAGTTTGCAGCAAGACTGTCCTCTTCCAGACAGTACCATTGATTGTTCAGACATCACTTTTGATCCGGTCAATTGTGCGGGTTGCCCGTACGACAATGTCTGTCTCTCCGATGCGGCAGGATGGTCTTCCTGTGATCGAATTTGTCCCATTGCCATTAGTCGGAGTTCTTCTTGTTTGCAAGGCGGCTCGGTCGAATGCGGAGCCGCCCTTTGCTACTATGAAACCATTTGTCAAGGAAAAGACGTCGGATTCGATTCCAGCAGTTGCACCAACATTGACTGTCCCGCTCCCGGACTCGGTCTCTGTACCATGGAATGGGTTCCCGTCGTGTGTGGGCCGTCCACGTGTCTCTATTCCAATACCTGTTTGGCCAGTCTGTCGGGGTGGAATGTGGAGGAGGATTGTATATTAGCAGAAGAAGAGGAAGAAGCAGTTCCAGAAGAAGCCTGCCCACAACCCCAAGCCGGATCCGTCTGTCCCTTTATCCTCTTGCCCGTGACCTGTGGTGGATGTAACTATTCGAATGAATGTCTCGCCAATGCAGCAGGACTCTACGACTGTTCTTCCAATCTCGATCCGCCAACAGAACCCTGTGATGGACCGGATTGTTCGGAAGACTTGGATATAACGAACATCGAAACCATGGATCCTTCATCAACGGTGGGTCCCACCATGGGAGAAACGTTTGTGGTGACACAGGTGCCGTGGACATGATGGAGAAAACATATTACTCGAATACAATGGTGTTACCTAAAGAATGGTGTTGTTCCAAGACAGACGTATATTCGAAGATGCTAGTGATTTTAACATTGTCAGATCGGCCCTCCAGAGTTGGAATGCGCTCCAATTTGTTGAGTCCGTCATTCTCAACCATGCTCCCCAGTCGCAAATAAGTTTTACCAATCCAATTGTAATGCTGTTTATGATCATATGGCGACCCAAGCTTGGAGTAAAAGAAGATATAAGGAGAAAAATGAAAAATACTACACTAGATCTACACAGATAGATTGGATTCTCCAGCTAGTTCAAATACATCTTGGCATAAGACAGGCCATTGACTGCTGTGACATCGAAGAGGCAGGCCTTATGATCCTCTTCCTTGGCACCAGCACCAGCTTTCTCAGCGTGCGGCATTTCTGTGTTCCTGCTGGGCACGGTACACTGTTGAAAATGATACACTCCTTCTCCCAAGCTGCGGAAGAGCATTGGCTCAATGATTGAACCTACCATTCCATTCCAAAGCCGTTGTAGTACTGTAGAGAAACTGGTATATGTCGGGCGCAGCCCGAAGTATCGGGCGCAGCCCGAATGAGCTCCAGGAAGAGGATAAGAGGGGGGAAGAGAGAGAGAGAGGGAGAGAGGAGAGGTCAACACTCATTGTTTGCTCTGAGACTGGTGCAAAGCTTTCCATCATGATGACACAACTGATTAGAGATCATGATAATGATGCTTTACGGCTGTCCACTTGCTTTGTTGTCCATGTCTGCAGTTGCTTTTCCTGTTGTACCATGCATTGTCGACTTGGGTGTTGTTGTTGTTCCCAGAGCTCTACGATACCTGTGATTCTTTGGTGGCTAGAAAAGTCAATTCGTTAAATCTTTGGCTGAGTCTGGCTTCATTTCCTGCCTTTTGAGAGAGTTGAAGAAATGCTCAGCCGGTACTTCATTGTAGGTAGATACCAATGGTCATGTTTTGAGTGGCTGTTGACCCCAGCGAGTGTCCTTTCCAGGCCGTTTTTGAATGAAGATCTTCACCACCACGCTCGATGCTGTCACCAACACACTTCACGTCCTGCCTGGATCTGTTTCACACCAACACAATGAAGATCACCAATCACCAGCCACTGGTACGGGTAACTACTAAGGATGCATCGTTGATTGTCAGAGGCCACCCACTTGCACAAGAGATGCACACCAGTTGCACGAGAGTACAGTACCATGGTGCTGGCTCCAGTTGTTGCCGTTCCTTCGCTTGTCATTGTCCTTCCCTGCTGTGGTTGATATCTTTGTTTGTTTTTATTTGTTTTGACTGCCAGTGGTAGGAGTGACAAGTCGATCCTCTGGAACGAACCGTTGGATTCCTTTTTAGCTACTAGTACTAGAGGAGTGATCGATCGCTGCTACTATTACGAGGTCGGCAAGTGTATTATTGAAGGCGCAGCACTGACTTCTCTCCCTCGTTGAATTTCCAAGGTAAACAGGAGAGAAATCCAAGCTTGGTTGGCAAGAGCGTTGTTGCAGAATTGTTATAACAGATCGGCAAGACCGCAACGCAACACATGTATCCTTCATCTAAGTTGACCAATCAGGCCCCAACACAGAAATAGTCAGGTCTGTACCGGTACGGTAGGGGGTGTACGATGGATCCACACTTTGCGGGGGGCAACAACACCCCTCGTGTTACCAAAGAGCCCCATTGGCGGATCACCACAACCGCAACCACTCTCAAGACAAAACGACCACAACAGCGGACAGTGGCAGCTTGCCTTTTACTGTGGAGATAGCAAGATTAGAAGATGAATTCTCCAGAAGATGAAGAACAGGAGGCAAGGTTGTTGCAGCTGGTCCAAGCACTATCCAATCGGCTGGATACTGGACTGTCAACACCGGCACTCAAGGCAATTGTGGAGTTGCTACGGGAAGGCGTGCACCCAGATGCCGTACTGGCTGTCATTGAGAGTGTTTCCGCGTAGTTTGAAGTGTGTACCCGTAGTTTTCCATTGAAAGAACTCGTGGAGTTGATGTGTTGTTTCTACTTGGAGGATCCCTGCCATTCTTGCGGTGTGGAATGCTACTCTAGGCAAGCCTAACGATTCGATTCGGCAGTCTCTTTGCCGAGCGAAATGAAAGCTTCTTTGGTTTCGCACATGTCTGATTTTCCTGCATAGACGATTCAAGGTCAATTATCAATGTTGAGAGATGAGTAGAGTCGAGTCCGTTCTGACTGCAGGTGGTAGCTGGCGATATCATGGGGGCATTTTGCACCAGCAACGGTACTAGTAAGCCGACAAAGGGACATTTGAGCTCTTGCCAATAGAAGGATTGCTCAGTGTTGTGCAAATAAAGGTTTAGATTTCGTTTATGTAATGATTGTGCTGTTTTCCCCGAAGATTTGGCAATGGCTAACCTGGTACCAATGTAAATGTAGCACCACAACTGTCCTTGGCTCAGCTGTCATTAATAAGGAGATTGAAATTCAATTCTCCGTGTGTTCTTTGAGCCCTTTCAAGCATCGAAAGCAAAACCGCCTCCTTCTAACACAAAAACAAAGTCAAAGGTTTATTGACGGATTCGATTCAGATAAGAAGTGCTTGAGGACCCATGAGCCCAAAGCCGGAGTATTAGATGCTAAGGCATCAAGAAGTCATATCTTGGGGCATTATGTAGAATCTATAGAACTTGCCACGCTGCTAAAGGCATCCTCTTTTGGTCTTTGTCCTTCACAGAAGAACCAGCAAAGCAAAGCCCCTTGTGTCTTTAAGAAGAAATCAGTTTTCGGTGCCATGAACAATAAGATAGTGACAGTCATATGTATGCATTGTCTCGTTCGGCAGGTGCAAGCTTTGAATCCATTCAGAGCTCGCTGATTCAATGGTATGATTTGCTGCAACGCTTCGATTCTCGCAATCCTCTCGTCCCAGGATTTCAAAAATCAAATCTGGACGAGTCCCGTTGTAGAGGTTCATGAGTTCATGCCACCTTGAGTCCAGTTCCATGCTGGACAACTCCGGTTCATCAAGACCACTCACAGGATCCTTTGTTTGCCAATATTCATTGGTCTCAGGCGCCTGAGATGGAATTTGCCAATATTCATTATTGGCAGTGACCCGACGTAGCCTTTGGCTACGGCAGGTCATTGTCCTCGCTCGGCAAGCGCGGCTGCAGCAATGCGAATTGCGAGTGCAGGGTTCGTCCCCTTCTCTGCAAGTTCCCCCCTGTTGTGCCTCCTGCTGTTGGCTGTTGTTGTCGCCGCCATCGCCTCGGCACGTTCCATCACTTTGGCACCAGCGGCTGCAACAGTGTCTGTTGCGCCTGCATTGGTTACCTGCCAGTCCACAGGTTCGTGCCTGTTGGTCTTCATTATCTTGCGGGGTGTTGCCTACACTCAGGTCCCAACAACTTCCTTGTACGCATTGTCCACTACAGCACTGCGAGTTTTGGTTACAACCTTGCAATAGTTCTCGGCAGCTTGGCTGATTTCCACCATTATTGATTTCATTGGACCAGCACTCTCCTTGTCGGCACCGGCCGCTGCAACATTGATCGTGGCTGTTGCATGCTTGTTCAATCTCTCGACATGTTGTCTGTTCCTCAGATTGCTGAGGAGGTTGCTGCTGCGGTTGTTGATTGCTGCCATCGTCCAAGCATTCTCCCCTCCAACACTGGCTACTGCAACATTGGCGATTTTGAACGCATGGTTCATCTGGCGCAAGACAGTTTGGCAGTTCCTCATTGCCGCCATCATCCCAGCACTCTCCCCGCCAACATTGGCCACTGCAGCATTGGTTGTTTCGCAAACATGGGTCATCTGTTGCAAGGCAGAGTGGTTGTTGTTCCTGTTCCTGCTGTCCCTGGCCTTGATTTTGCCCTTGTTGTTGATCCTGGCCCTGCCCTTGTTGGTTCCCTTGACCTCCTTGATTCCCTCCATTGTTGTTGTTGTTACCACCACCACCGATATTGTTGTTTCCATTACACTGCTCGTTGGCTCGAACAGGCACGTTCCACCCTTCATTGATCGATTGGGCAAACTGCCCACTGGTTTGAATCAAGTTTCGTGCCAAATTGTCATCCATGTATTGGACATTGACGAGTCCCCGATTGGACAAAACCTGTCGTATTGATGGGCGATCAAAGTATCCTCCTCTGTCGCCATTTATCGTAAGTTGAGAATCGAGATTGGCGTGGTAGTGCTGTGGATGGAAACCAGCAATTATTGAGAAATTGGAACATGATAGCAACACAGAAGTTAGGCTTGGAAACACTGTCGTACCTCCCACTCGTAATCCTCTGGACCCAGATTGTGATGTCCTTGATAGTTTTGCCACAATGCCCAAATGCGATCGACATTGGCACTAAAACCAGGAAATGCCAAATAGAAGTAAATGTCAGGACTTATCTTGAGCAAGTATAGGTACAGTAAAAAGTACAAGTAAATCTGAGAGAAACTCACTGATGGAGCCAAAATAGAGGATCTTCAAGGAGGCACAGCAAAGAAGGCGTTAGTGAATGTTCCCTGCGGTTGCAAACATAGGAAAGCAACCCCCACAGTATTCCATATCCCTACCTTCGGAACTGAACGTATTTCTCATTTGTCCTCCTATAAACTGATGCACCGATGCATGAGGAGCCCCTTCCAGTTCCACAGAGAAGGAAGCAAAATTGTTGGAGTTGGTAATGCGACTGAGCACCTCGACATCTCTCGAGAAGGTCCACCGTCGATTGAATTCACGTCGCAGACATCCTTCCACCTGGGAATTCCAACCCTGGGACACACCACTGTCCACGCAACCTCCGCCATTCTGGCTTCCAAAGGTCCCTCCTCGAAAGACGGTCTCGAGAGAATCCGGCCGTTCCCAATCCCAAAAGGGAACGGTAACACACGTGCCACTGGCTCGTTGGAGCTGCTGTTCAAAGACCCACAGGTAGTATCGATGCCACGGAAGAAAGGCGGGCACATTGTGAGCCGCTCCACCGGTAAGCCAATGAACGCGGGCAATGTCATCGTATACCCCCGATGCTTTGAGGGCTCGAAGGGCATTGAGAAATTGATCCTGTTCGCCACAGCTCAGGGATCGCCAAGGACGGCGTCGACTCACACCGCATTGCGCCTGACAAAATGCAGGCAACAGAAACAGAAGGCAACAATGAAAATAATAGCTCGTCATGGTTCCACTTGCTTGCTTGCTCGAAGAGATTGGTCTCGCCTATCCAGTTACCGCTCCTCTGGCCTACCCAAATACCGGTATATGAGTCTTCAGTTTGCTAGCTAGAGAGATGAGAGGCTACCTTGAAGATCTACATGTACTAGTACTTCACTTCTATCCTTCCTCACCAACTCCGAAATGAATTGGTTTGCTCATCGGTCGCATTTGTATCCGGTCAAGCAACCGACGGTGATCGCACCAATCGAGTTTAGACTCTCGGAAAAAGACTGCACCCAACCTTGCTAATTAGCTTTGAAACAGATGTTGGCATGCTCTTGTGTTTAGACATTTCAGACGATAAACATTCAAATTGGCTAAGTGACCTGATTGGGCATGCTTTGATGTTCTATGTTTAGGATCAATGGGATCTTCAACGGCATAATTACCATCGCCGTGAGGTTTGCGTCAGAGGACGTGCTGTGGACGATTGATTGATTCAATTCCATTGATCCGATTCCATTCCATTCGATCCGATTCGATGGAAGGATGAAAATCTTGAATCGAATTTCGTCTCCATAGAGACGACGCTCCTTTTGGTTACCCCCTCAGTGGCACTCTGGAATCGATTTGCCGGCGTTTACTGTGTAAAATAGAGTAGCCGCACTTCAGTTGCAGAATCAACGGTCATGTGTATCGTTAAGTAACAAGTTCCCTTTCGAAAGATTTAGATTGATTCGTGGAAAAAGAACCGTTGAAGTTACTAAGGTTAAGGATAAACCGATCTGAGTGAAAGTCCATTATTGAAGGCGCAGCACTAACTTCTCTCCCTCATTGAATTCGTATGGTAAACAGGAGGTAAATCCAAGCTTGGCCGACAACAATGGTGAGTGCTTTATCCAATCGATCGATCCTAGTTGAATCGATCGAACGACCGATCCAACGGTACGAGGTAAGCCTATTATCAAGAGTGTTATTGAAGGTGCAGCGCTGACTTCTCTCCCTCATTGAATTGCTATGGTATTCAGGAGAGAAATCTGAGCTCGGCCGTCATCAGGTGAGTTGTTTTAATTATTCGAATCGATCGATCGCACCTCTATTATCTCTATTATCCAAGCCTCACTCAAGCCATCCTTCTCCGGTGTAGATTGGAAAGCCATCCCTCATTGAATCCTATGGACCGTGGGATGGCAGTCAGTTCTCGGCCCATGACGGCCAAGTTGGTGCAATTTGAAAAACAATGGTAAGTCTCCGGTCGTCTGCAGTTGAGCACAGAAAACAAAACCCATATCTATTTGTTGTTTTCTCTGCTGTACTGCTGACGGCCGATGAATTACCATTGTCGCGGTCCAACGAACGATTGATCGCTCCGAATAACACGAGGAAGAAGAGGCTATCGCTACGGAGGTATGTGTACGGAGGAAACTGTTAACTCCAGCCCCACCAACAGCATGAACGGATCGTCGTCGACTCATTGAAAGGGAACAGGAGCAAGGCTAGCTACTCGACAACACACAAGAGAGTGGACCCTCCTACCGGATTCATCCCTTCTTGTTATTTCCTACTGTTTTGGTGGTGATTCCTGTGTCGGTACCCATTTTCCTGTATGCGCAAATCAAGTACTGTTGCCACTAGCTATACGGCAGCTGGCTACAATGGCTGGATTGACAATATTCCGTTGTGAGTGTATTCGTCATAAGGATCCAATGCGAGGTAACCGACTGCAGCGAGCAAAGTCGAACCTGCGTTTGTTCGGTACTGTTGCCACTGTCACCGATCGATGAACTCAACGATAGCTGGCTACAATGGCTAGATTGACAATGTTCGGTTGTGCATGTATTCGTCATAAGGATCCAATGCAAGGTACCGGTAACGGAGTGTAGCCAGTAAAGCGGAACCTGTGTGTTCGGTACTGTTGCCACTGTCACGGATCGATGAACTCTACGATAGCTGGCTACGATGGCTGGATTGACAATGTTCGGTTGTGCATGTATTCGTCATAAGGATCAAATGCGAGGTACCCGTAACCGTAGCGAGCAAAGCCGAACTTTCGGTACTGTTGCCACTGTCGTCGATGTAGCTATACCGCAGCCGGCTACAATGGCTGGATTCATAATGTTCGGTTGTGCATGTATTCGTCATAAGGATCCAATGCAAGATACAGGCAACGGAGTGCAGCCAGCAAAGCGGAACCTGAGTGTGTTCGGTACTGTTGACACTGTCCCCGACGTAACTGTACGGTAGCCGGCTACAATGGCTGGATTAACAATATTCGGTTTTGTGCATGTATTCGTCATCAGGATCCAATGCGAGGTAACCAACTGCAGCGAGCAAAGTTGAACCTGAGTGTGTTCGGTACTCTTGCCAATGTCACCGATCAATGAACTCTACGATAGCTAGCTATGATGGCTGGATTGACAATGTTCGGTTGTGCATGTATTCGTCATAAGGATCCAATGCAAGGTACCGGTAACGGAGTGTAGCCAGTAAAGCGGAACCTGTGTGTTCGGTACTGTTGCCACTGTCACGGATCGATGAACTCACGTAGCTGGCTACATGGCTGGATTGACAATGTCGGTTGTGCATGTATTCGTCATAAGGATCAAATGCGAGGTACCGTAACCGTAGCGAGCAAAGCCGAACTTCGGTACTGTTGCCACTGTCGTCGATGTAGCTATACGCAGCCGGCTACAATGGCTGGATTCATAATGTTCGGTTGTGCATGTATTCGTCATAAGGATCCAATGCAAGTACAGGAACGGAGTGTAGCAGCAAAGCGGAACCTGAGTGTTGTCGGTACTGTTGACACTGTCCCGGTAATCGTACGGAGCCGCTACAATGGCTGGATTAACAATATTCGGTTTTGTGCATGTATTCGTCATAGGATCCAATGCGAGGTAACCACTGCAGCGAGCAAAGTGAACCTGAGTGTGTTCGGTACTTGCCAATGTCACCGATCAATGAACTCTACGATAGCTAGCTATGATGGCTGGATTGACAATGTTCGGTTGTGCATGTATTCGTCATAGGATCCAAAGCAAGGTACCGAACGGAGTGTAGCCAGCAAAGCGGAACCTGAGTTTTTCGGTACTGTTGCACTGTCGCTGATGTAACTTGTACGGTAGCGGCTACAATGGCTGGATTAACAATATTCGGTTTGTGCATGTATTCGTCATAAGGATCAAATGCGAGGTAACTGAGTGCAGCGAGCAAAGTCGAACCTGCGTGTGTTCGGTACTGTTGCCACTGTCACTGATTGATGAACTCTACGGTAGCTACGTTGGCTGGATTGACAATGTTCGGTTGTGCATGCATTCGTCATAAGGATCCAAAGCAAGGTACAGGTAACGGAGTGTAGCCAGTAAAGCGGAACCTGAGTGTGTGTTCGGTACTGTCACGGATCGATGTAACTCTACGGTAACTGGCTACAATGGCTGGATTGACAATATTCGGTTGTGCATGTATTCGTCATAAGGATCCAAGTAGCGAGCAAACTGAGGAAACAGGAGACGAACGCTGAAAAAAAGCCGAATCATTATGTGTCTCGATTCGATTCTGACAGGGTTCAGGAACCACTACAGATAGTCGAGGTTGCGCATTATTTGTACTGTTATGCACTGGTTCCACCCAGATAGCGTAACCGGAACCACTTAGGTTTTGGCTATGTGGTTCCGTAACTGGAACCGGAACCACTTAGTATTTTCTAAATAGTTCCGGAACCTTAACCACTTAAGGGTCGTGAGTGTACGTGGTTCCCGTTACTGGTTCCATAACTTGTTGGAACTAGCTACACGATAAATGGTTACGCTAACTGATTACTGGTTACGGTTACGGTTATGCTATCTGGTTACGAGGCGCCATTTTATTCTTGGATCGCTCATAAATTCCAGATCTGGAACCTGATACGGGAAACCCTAGCATTTTCGCGCCATAACTGGCTACTTTATCTGGTTACACCACCACCTACCGTATCTGGTTACGTATCTGGCTCCGAACCAATTTGTAAGTAGTTCCGCTACCGCTAACTGGTTCAATGTCCACGTATCTGGTTCCCTATCTGGTTCCTTTACCACCTCCCACCTCCCACCCACAATTTCATTATAGATGTCAACCGCCATGATGGTACCTGATGTTGATGGTGATGAGGAGGACGTCCATGGCCATGAAGAAACCTTTGACCACTTCATTGCCAAAGAGGTTGATGATGTAGCCGGAGAGGATGAAGCCATCGCCGATGGAGAAGATGTCGTCCCACCAGGAGGTGATGCCTTCGCCAACCCTGCCAACGAGAACGACAGGGACGATGACGAGGAGGAAGACAACAAACAGGAAGAAGCGGAAGAGATCAAACCATGCTCCGCATTTACGAAAAGTCAAAGGGACTCATAGAGCACCAGAAGAAGGTGAATACTTGATGGAGGAATCAAGAGCCGTCAGCCGTATGGGAGGTTTTCAAGTTTGTTCATGTCGCCAATGCTGAGGATTAGGAGGAACTGGAAAAGTTGGATCAGCCGGCAAAGGACAAGCTCTACAAAGGGCAGGTGGAAGAGGAAGCCCTACTATTGTTGTCTCAATTGTTTTGATGATTATACATGTTCTCTATGATTGTTTGGTCAAGACGTCATACAAGAGCTGAAGGATACCAGCAAGCTCAAAGGGCATGGCAACCACAGCAAGCATTTAGGGAGCCACCATGAGGCAATCAAAGATTTCCAGACTTTGTGTTTGAAGAAGAAGGAAACGTATATCTATACTGGTCCATCTGGTACTGGTGCCGCCAATGCCGATGAAAATGTCACTGCTCCTGTTGCGGTTCGAAACAATGGTGTCTTCTCACCCGTGACCATTTCCACTTGAGGCTCTCTTCCACCTGAACATGTATCAGTTTCTTTATATGCAGATGTGAAACAGCCTGGTTCTCTATACTCTGAGGCGAAAAGGCTTGGTGCCGAGGAACTTAGGAAGGAATGTGCACTACGCTAAAAGCTAGTGTAAAGATCTTTCGAGTGTTTTGAGTTTGAGAGAATGAAAGTTATGAGAGGATTAGAAAGCTATGAAAACTAATCAACGAGAGAGATCACAATCAAGGGATCGTAGATCTGAACTCCCGCGGGAGACTGTAAAGTGTGATAGAGTAGGTTGTGGTAGTAATCCTACTCGTTCCACGATCCAAAAACGGAACGCGTGGAAGATTCGTCTAGCATTTATCTAGTAGCGTGGAACCTCTCCACGCCAGCTAAATATCTAGCGCGATGTTTCACCATCGACCTAGTATGACTAGCGGTCATGAGAACCCTGTCTCAATGACTATTCACGAGAGACTCAGTCATGAGTCGAACTCAAACCCTATCTAGGATCGAGTCGCGAATAAGGCTAAGAGCCGTGTATTGCATTCGTTTTTTTTCAGCGTTCGTCTCTTGATTCCTTAGTTCCAGCTCAGTTACTCCAGTACCGAACACACTCAGGTTCCGCTTTACTGGCTACACTCCGTTACCGGTACCTTTCATTGGATCCTTATGACGAATACATGCACAACTGAACATTGTCAATCCAGCCATCATAGCCAGCTACCGTAGAGTTCATCGATTAGTGACAGTGGCAACAGTACCGAACACACTCAGGTTCGACTTTGCTCGCTGCACTCGGTTACCTCGCATTGGATCCTTATGACGAATACATGCACAACCGAACATTATGAATCCAGCCATTGTAGCCGGCTGCCGTATAGTTACATCGGTGACAGTGGCAACAGTACCGAACAGGATACCATTGCGAGGTACGGAGTGTAGCGCAAGCCGAACTGAGTGTGTTTGTACTGTTGCCACTGTCGCCGATGTAACTATACGGCAGCGCGCCGGTACCTAGAGATGTCTGCGATAGCGCATGGCTGATTGCAATTTCGGTTGGCATGTATTCGTCATAAGATCAATGCGAGGTAACGGAGTGAGCGAGCAAAGCCGAACCTGAGTGTGTTCGTACTGTTGCCACTGTCGCCGGATGTAACTTACGGCAGCCGGCTACAATGGCTGGATTGACAATTTCGGTTGCGCATGTATTTGTCATAAGGATTCAATACGAGGTACTTGTACCGGAGTGTAGCGAGCAAAGCGAACCTGAGTGT